TTTTTTTTTTTTTTGAAGAAGAAGGTAGATCAATATGTACTCTTATGAAAAAATGTTCAGGTTCATAAAGTGAAGAAGAGGTTATGGGAGTGTAGGTACAGGGCCGTCCTACTTGTGTTAGAAAAATACAGTGTTAACATATGTATAGGAAAATCTGCCTGGAGGGTCCGTCTGGAGGATGAGATCGTGACAAATTCTGTTTCAGATATGTGTATAAATTTATTTTTACTACGAGCACTCATCTTTCTCATACGCCTAGAGAAGGCAGGCACTCTGCTGGTGTCTTGAAGCCGCTGCCCCCAAGGAGGTGTGGTCCGGGCTCAGCCCCTCCCACCAGTGACTTGGTTTCCTCATGGGCACGGCTCCCGTTGCCTTCCGAGAGCTTATCTGCAGTGCGTGGTCAGCTTGCAGACTGCAGCCTCTGCAGGAAGGCAGCATGCCGCCCTGTCCTGCACAGCGTCATGTCTGTGCCCCTGCCACAGCTGGGTTCCCCTTCCATCTGCCAGCATGGGCGTCCACTGGGAAAGTGGATCTTCGCTGGCTGGCAGAGGCCTGGTGGCTGGTGTGGAGCTGCCCCCTGTGGCTCTGGGAAGCACAGGGCCTGGTCAGGTGGCCTGCTGCACCTAACCCCCAGCATGGGTCTTGCCTTTCTCTAGTTCCAGTGCGACGGCCTCTCAGCCGCCGGAGTCGCTGCCGCAGCCGGGTTTGCAGAAGTCTGTCTCCAATTTGCAGAAGCCGACACAGCCGAGCAGTCAGGAGGTGAGTGCTGAGGATCCCATCCTGATTCACCCGGCACTGTGGCCCTCCATGTCCCTGCCCTTGGGCAGACTGAGGAGTGGCTGAGAAACTGTGGTGGTGGCAAAGGAAGCCGGCCTGCAGTGTGGAGGGATCCCCAGAGGCAGCCGGTGCAGTTGTTCTTGGGTTCCTACACAGGGTAGCTCCGTTTCCCCAAACTGCTGCTCTGACATGAGCGTAGTAAGAATTCGAAAAGTACCAGGCCACAGAAGGGCTCAGCTGTCAGGTGAGCTCCTTTGTGGAAGCCCTTCTCAGCACTGAGATGTGTATGGTACCTCTAGGGGAGGGATGTTGGGGGTGGCATTCCCAGGTTGATGGTCCTGGAAGCCTTTCTCAGCTGAATGCCTCTGAGCACTGATGTCTCTGGGAACACGCTTTAGGAGACAATCAGCCATGGTCCTTTCAGATGTTTTTCTAACACGTCATAACCAAGCAAGAGGTCACAGTGCTCTTGGCGCATGGGGCCTGGCCGTGGGCTTGCAGAGATCCACAAGGTACACTATACCTAGTGGCAACAGAGAGGGCGGGGGAGTCTGAATTTTTTAGAAGAAGAAGAAATGTTACAGATACCTGGCACTCACCAGCCCTGTTGACCGCTTGGTTGTGCTGCTCTCTGGGTGACCTGGGTCTGCAGTGCCATCCCCCGACTGCCATACCTGCTGGTGGGGGGGCCTCTTGCTTTGCTGGGTATCCTCCTCCACTCAACTCTGACCTGTGCTCTTTGAAATGAAAAACACAGAGGAAAAAAAAACCCTGTTCCTGTGAGACTCCATATTCCTTGGCCTCAATTCACTGGGGCCTGTTGACATGGAGATGTTCAACATCCTTTCTTTTTCTCAGAATTTGAAACTGAGATTGTGGTGCCACGATGTTTCAACCTGGTTGTATTGAGCTTGGTAAACATACATGTGCTTGCTCCTGGGTGCAGTGGTGTACCTGTAGGCCCAGCTTCTCAGGAGGCTGAGGATGGGGGATTACTTGAGCCCATGAGTTTGAGGCCAGCTCAGAGACCCCACCCCTGGACTTGGGTAAGGTCCTGGGCCTGTGTAGAAGAGAATTCCTACAGGGCCTGGGCTGTGGCCAGGTGGAGGGGCCCTGTCCCAGCACTGTACACAACCCACCACATCCTGTCTTCCCCTCTTGTTAGTAGCTACTGAGTCTTCTGTCTCATGCAGAGGAGAAGTAGAGGAAGAACCTATTGATTTGTAACTTTCAGAACATCTCAGAGTAATTCTAGTTATTTTGTTTGTGGAATAGAATTCACTGGCAATATCAGCACCCCATCTTGGTCCTATAGGCTTCCCTCCAGTTGGGGCCTCTGGGTGCGGGTGGGGAGTCACCCTGTGGATGCAGACACCAGTGGAGGTGTGGGATTCAGTGTGGGGGAGGAGAGTGAGACCTGATCCTGACCTTGATTACTGCTGGATCTGAAGGCTCCCCAGCCCCCAGGATTGTCCAGCCAGAATGGCACTGTCCCCATTAGGCTGAGGCACATCCTTTATGTGGATGTGCCTCAGGCAGACACCCAGGCAAAGCACGCAGGGCAACTCAGATAAAGACCTGACCACCTCTGTGTCAAAGCCAGAAGGATGGTTTTTCTGCTTGGAGGAGGGTGGGCTGGGAAGGAGGTGGATGGAAAGGTGGTTATTTAATGTATCTCATCCAGTGTGTGGTGGGATTGACATGCTACATTTAGGGGCCCTTGACCTTTGGAAAGGGGCAGGCTGTGGAGTCCAGCGTTGGTGGGAAGGGCAAATGGGCTCAGCAGTTGGAACTTGAAAGCCTTTGCACTCAGGTGGGTGGGGCACAGACCCTGGTCCTCACCCTAACTGGGAGTCTCTCTCAGCCACATTCTGGACATGAACCCTGGCTGGGCTGTGTATGTGAGGGTCACCCAGGCTGGGTGTGCCTAGCAGCATGCCTGACCCTCCTGAGCTGTCAGCAAAGGCTGCCCCATAGGGCTGAGGCTGGTAGGCAAGTCCAAGTTAGTAGGGGAGGAGGGCTGTCAGGTGAGGGCCCTGCTGTGTGGAATGACAGGTGCGCTGGGTTTCCTGGGTGCCCCTTGGTTAGCAGCGGCACAGCATTTGAGAAATGTGAAGAATTGGGGTTTGGTCCATGCCTCTGTAGCAAGGCAGAGTCGCTCTGTGTGGGCACCAGGGACGGCCTGATGGAACGTGGTAGAGCAGGGGAAGAAGGCCCCGTGGGTCTGCATCTGGCTCATTGGGATAACCAGCCATGTGACTGTGAGCCGGTCACTGCCCTGTCCTTCCTGCTCCTTCCCTTTAAAGGGACAAGGCAGGTTGAGTCCCTGCAGATCCTGCACTGAGAGAAGTGCCGTGCAGAGAGCTCAGGTTGTTAGATCCTGCCCAGAACATGATCCCTGTTGTATCTGCCGAGGGCTTGGATCTAAGGTGCCAGCATCTCAGTGCAGTGCTTTTTTTCATTGTTGTTGTGGATCTGGGGATGGAACCCAGGGCCTTGTGTGTACTAGCATGTGCTCTGCCTGAGCCCCACCCTGCCTTCTCAGCATTCTGGCCTGCACACTTAGTCATGGGGCTCACTGAGCTAGCTTTCCTTATTTCCTTCCTTCCTTTTCAGAATACAAATTCAGTGCCAGGTGGACCAAAGTCATGGGCACAGCTGAATGGAAAGCCAGCAGGACACGAAGGTGGTAAGTGTGTGCAGGGTGTGTGTGGCCCTGGTCTAAGGGGAGCCCAGGGGGTGAGTTCTTTCCTGACTCTTCTGGTTGGGGCGAGGCACCCACCTGCTCTGTGGAATCTCTTCTCCAAGTCTTCATGTTCATGGTGCCCTGGCCTTTGCCAGTGGTGGAGTTGCTACTTCTGCAAAAATGTTGCCTCTGACTCCAGTGACTGTCATCGCTGGAGACGTTCCTCTTGAATGTCCCAGACCTAGCTGAAGCCTGCTGGAGTCACATGGATGTGCCTTCTGGGTGGGAGCTGCTGATGGAAGGCTTCCTGCCTGCAGCCATAGTGTCCCCAGTGGAGGTGGCACATCTTGCCTCATGCCCTGCCCCAGGGGTCGGTTGGGTGGGGCCTCGTGCCTTCCCAGGTGGCCACCTGCCAGCACAGATGCCCACAGCATGGCTCACTTGGAACCACTTCAGGGCAGCGGGGCCTTCAGCGTGTGGAGCAGGAGAGCAGACGTGGGGTGATGCTGGGCTCAACTAGCTCTCTGTATCTTTCTGGCTTTCTCCACAGGTTTAAGGGGCTCAAGCCGACTGTTATCCTTCTCTCCCGAGGAATTTCCGACGCTGAAAGCAGCTGGAGGGCAGGACAAGGCTGGCAAAGAAAAGGGCGTCTTAGATCTGTCGTATGGGCCAGGACCAAGCCTCCGCCCTCAGAGTAAGTGAATGGCCATGTCGTGCTGCTCCCCCTTCCTTTCTGCCCTCTTAGAGGGTGTTGGAGCTTCTGGGCCCCAGGCTGCCTCCACCAGACCCATGTTCTGCTGGACTTCTTCTCCAGGCCCTCCCTGCCTCCGCCTGTCTTGCCTTCGGGTTAGGCCAGGCCTGTCCCCTCCTGTCTGTCTGCTATGCTGGATATTTGCATCAAGAACATGCCCAAGGCCAGCCCACTGGAGTCCCTGGTTCCAGAGCTTGCTTCTAAGCCAGTTATTTCTAGACCTAATGGAGCCTGTTGGACTCACTTGGGAAGTTAGCTTCCAGCCCACTCCAGTCAGACCACTCTCCACACTCTGGGGCTGCTGTGCAGCCAGCCCACACTACTGCCCTCTGCTGGTGTCTGGCACGGGGCCTGTGGGACTGTGGCAATGCTTGCTGCAGCTGGTGCTTCCTGGAGGTCTGGGGTGGCTTGAGGTTTGGGTGTTTAGGCCAGGGATGCTCAGGTACCTCCTAGGTTCAGGTCTTGCAGCAGAATGGGCTGTTGTTTGCTTGTCTTGAGTAATCCCCAAGGCCTTTCCTGTTGCTGACTCTGATGCCAGGGCACAGTTGTCCTGTGAACTCCATGACCACTGTGCTTCTCTGCTTAGGACAAGGACTTTTCAGTGGCCTGCAGGGGTTTATTTTGTTTGCTGCAAATATATAACCAAGTTGTGTAGAACACAATTGTGTCTTTCTGGGATTAATTCAGATGAGTTGCTGTGTAGGACTATGAAAGTGTGGGACTAGAAGCAGCTTCTGGAATTAGTTCCTTCTCATTTGAAAAGATGAGGATGTGGGTGGCCCAAAGGGTGACCTCGCTTGCCTGGAATCACCTGGCAAAGTGGGAGCAGCCTAGCTGCCTGGCTCACCTGGTTTCAACTCCTCACCAGAAGCTGACTGACCAGAGTCCTTCCACCCCTCCAGTGCCTCCCTAGCCCATACAGCAGTCCCCCTAGTCTGCAGTTTCTCTCCACAGTTTGTTGTCTGTGGGCAGCCACCTCTGAAACTACTACTGGAGGTTTGTTTTGTTTTTGTTGTTTTGCTGGGTTCAAAATCCAGGGCCTCATATGTGCTAAGGCAAGCACTGTACCAGGGAGCCACACCGCAGCCCTTGACTGCAGGTTCTGAGGGAGAGGGTTTGCGTGCGCATGAGTATTATAGTGTGCTGTTTTAGTTGCTCATCTCTCCCTGTGCCCACTGGCAAGTTGATCTTTGTCAAGGGCAAGTGTGTGTGTCCAGGTTTGGTATGTCCATGGTTCCAGGTGTTCCTTTGGGGTCTTGGAATGTTCCCCTTGGATGCGAGGCTATTGTCACACCTTCTACCAGACAGACTCGTTGGGTGCTGGAGGCACCACCTTACAGAGAGACGGTCTTTGAGGTCTACCTGTGCTCTATGTGCCACAGGGACTGTTAGAGGCTGCTGCTAGTCAACGGGCAGCATGGGGCAGGACCCGCTCTGGCTGTAGTGGAGTCCAGTGCTGAGTGCAGTCCACACAGGCAGGGCTGGTGTGTGTTGAGTAGGTCTGTGGCTGTTCTCAGGGCTTTATTTCCCTGGGTTCTGTGCTCTGTGGGGTGTGTGACCTCTATTTGGGAGGAATCTGTGTCTGCACCTGTCCTCTCTGGGCAGATCTTATTTTAAATCTCTGACAATCTGACTTCCCTCGAAGTTTAACTTGCTGGCCAGGTGTCTGCCCCAGCCTCTCTTGGAAGACCAGATGGATGGTTCGGTTCTTTTCTTTTTTTTTTCCCCCTCCATTTTTTGGTGAATAAAGGGGTCCCCTGATCTCTGGGACCTCACAGATCCCTCCCTCCCCTCCTCTTTCCTCTCTCTTCCTGTACCCATCAACTTGCAGATGTGACAAGCTGGAGGGAGGGCGGTGGGCGAAGCACAGCTTCTGCGGCGTCTCTGAGCACCTCCCCAGCTGAGCCGGGCAGCAGGAACGCCAGTGCTGGGGATGGAGCCCCCTCCTCGGCATGTACCAGCGATTCTAAAGACCCCTCTCTCCGCCCGGCTCCTCCTGTCCGCAAAGGGACATCGCAGTTCCTGGGAAACGTGTACCACCCTCCCACGTACCATGACATGCTCCCTGCTTTTGTAAGTCCCCTGTGCGGTCCTAGCACTCAGCCATTCACGTCTAGCAGAGCCCAGTTCAGTGGCCAAAAGTCACCTTGGGCTCTCCCTCCCGGGTTCACTCCGCCCAGAGAGCCTGTTTTGTAGGTTCCCAGCAGATCTGCATTTGCCTTCCACCCTTCTCAGGTGCTGTGGCCTCTGGCCCTTGCCCGGGTGAGGGATGTTATTGGCATGGTGGTCTTTTAGATGAAGGAGAGGTGGGTGTTCCCAGACAGGGTTCCCAAGCTTACCTACCCACAGCAGGTGGGGAATGGGCCAGAGGGGAAGGGCTCATGAGGAAACCCTCAGCCTTTCCTGTTTCTTCTTCCCATTATCCACTTTTCAAAACAAATTCCAATTTAAGTGGAGCTTGGAATTTGGGTCATTGCCAGAAACCCTCTTTGTTGGTGTTATGTTTCAGATGTGTTCGCCACAGTCATCAGAGAACCAGGGTCCAGTGGACCGAGGCTCCTTCCCTCTTCCTCAGCTCCGCCTGGAACCCCGTGCTCCTTTTAGACAGTTCCAGATCAATGGCCAAGATGGGTAAGTGAGCTCCACAGTACAGTGCACAGAGTCTCCTGGTGGGGCTGACACTGGAGACCGCACAGACCCAAAGCCACTCCAGCCCCCAGGCTGTGTGGGCTGTGGGGTGGGGCAGGTTGAGGGCTTGGGCCATGCTAGAGTTCAGCACTGGGGAGGCAGAGCTTCCCACTGGGTGTTTGCTTATTATGTATTTCTTTTAAAAGGAAACAGTGTAAATATTAGCTCAAAAATGAACCTGTGCAATGTAGGATTTATTTTTGGGAAAGTGTTTGTGCTTCCCTGTGTGTTCACGGCCCATCATGTGGACTTCTCTCCCCTCAGGAAAGAGAGCAGGCTGGGGCTGACCCGCCCCATCCGCCCACTGAGGCAGCTGGTGGAGCGGGCACCACGGCCCACCATCATCAATGCCGAAAACCTGAAGGGCCTGGATGACCTGGACACCGATGCTGACGACGGCTGGGCAGGTGGGTGTGGCCGGAGGGCGGGCAAGCTGGAGGCCCACTCTGCTTGCCCCTGTGGCACACTGGCCCCTGAGGAGGCAGCGGGTTCAGGCCTGTGCGTCTGCATTTGCAGTTAGACCCGGTGACTTCCTGAGCAGGCTGGATCTTCTTTTGGTCTTCACTCTTGATCTTAGAGCTGTGGGAGATTTTGATGTTAACTTTTCAAAGAACTTATTTATCTATTTATTTTTAGTTATAGATGGACACAATGCTTTTATTTTACTTATTTATTTTATGTGGTCTGAGGATCAAACCCAGTGCCTCACATATGCTAGGCAAGTGCTCTACCACTGAGCCCCAGCCCCAGCCCTCAAAGAACTTTTGACAATGGAAAATTTTAAAAATCAAAAGGAACAAGCTTCTAGCTATTTGTCACCTAACTTCAGGAAGTACCAGCATTGCATTGTTTTTATTCCTTTATCTCTGCCCACTCCCCTCCCCAGCCTGATTCTTTGTTTTCAGCTAAGTTCTAATTACATTGTAAAAGCACAGGGTCTCCTGTGGGGTTTGTTCAGTGGATACGCTTGCAGTGAGCATCCATGTGAAAAGATGGACGATTCTCACCACTGGAGGATTCCCTGGGTCCCTTCTTAGTCGGTTGGCCTTCCTGATTCTACCCAAGAGGTTCCAAGTCTTCTGATTGATTTCGCTGTAGATTAATTTTGCCTGTTGTAGAACATCAAATGAATGGATTCATACAATTCTAAACCTGTATAATGTTTTTTTTATTTTATTTTTTGTGTGGGATTGAGCCCAGGGTATTGCACATGCTAGGCAAGTGCTCTACCACAGAGCTACATCCCCACCCCTGTATGATTTTTTGTTTTTTGATAGTCATCATTCTTAGGCATATCTGTCATTACTTTCCAAGTGCTAAAATGTGTTTTTATTATTATCATTATTATTATTATTTTTTCCTTGGTACCAGGGATTGAATTCAGGGGCACTCGACCACTGATTCACATTTCTGGCCTTATTTTGTGTTTTATTTAGAGTCAGGTTCTCAGTGAGTTGCTTAGTGCCTTGCTGTTTCTGAGGCTGGCTTTGAACTCGTGATCCTCCTGCCTCAGCCTGCCAAGCTGCTGGGATTACAGGCGTACACTGCCGTGCTCAGCTTGAGATGTGTTTTATTGTATTGATTTACTGAAATTGTTTTATCCTTTTGAAAGTCCCATTAAGAATGGTATCTGGGCTGGGGCTGTAGCTCAGTGGTAGAGCTCTTGCCTCGCATGTGTGAGGCACTGAGTTTGATCCTCAGTACCACATAAAAATAAATTTAAAGAAAGGTATTATGTCCATCTACAATTAAAAAAAAAATAAAATGTTAACTTTATGCCAGGTATGGTGGTGCACACCTGTAATCCCAGTGGCTTGGGAGGCTGAAGCAGCAGGATCACAAGTTCCAGCCAGCCTCAGCAATTTAGTGAGGCCCTAAACAACTCAGTGAGACCCTGTCTCTAAAATACAAAATAGGGCTAGGGATGTGGCTCAGTGGTCGAGTGCCCCTGAGTTAATCTCTTGTACCATGGAAAAAACAACAGCAGCAACAAAATGAAGAATGAAATCTTCATTCCTCCTGGATCAACATCCCCGAGCAGGGCTGCTGAGCCTGAGGGTAGGCCTGCAGTTAATTCGATGGAGTTCATAGCCCGCCAGCCTCTCCCTGCGGTTGTACCATGTCATATTCGTGCAGCAGGCTGTGGAGCTCAGTGCTTGGCATCCTCACATTTTGGGGCTTGTCCTTGTGGTCTTAGCCGTCCTGGTTCATTGCGCTTCTGATCTACTCTTGCACGGGGCTGGTGACGGTATCCTGTGCTCTGCTGCGCCTCGCGGTTCACCCTTGCCCAGTGCCTGTGTGACTTCATTTTCTTCCATGTTAGATTACTACTAGTCCTTTGCGACTTCACATTGCACTTTTTTTTTCTATTTCAGTCTTTTTTTTTTTTTAAAGCTCTATTTTGATAAGCAAAAGTTTTTAACTTGGATGCAGATTGATTTACAAACTTTTTTATGATTATCACTTCTGTGTCCTTTTTAGGAACTGCTCCTCTACTTGGTTGAAAAAGACCCCTGAAGTCTTTTAGCTTTGCCTGTTGCTTTGGGTCTTGGTCCAGGTTGGACTCATCTTCGTGGGGCTGTAGCGCAACAGTCTGGGATCACTTTCCCTACACAGATGCACACTTTCCCTCTACTATTTGTTGTTGAGACTTTCTTGTCCCTATATTGAATTGCTTTTTTGACACTTTTGCCAAAAATCTTTTGACCATGTGAGTGATGGTGTGTTAGTCTTGATGCCAGTTGCACACTGTAGCTTTATAGGAAATCCTGAATTCAGGTAGTGTAACATTGTTTTGGTTTTTTTTTAGCATTGTTGATTATTCAAGCTCTTTGCATTTTCATGCAAATTTAGAACCAACTATGAGTATTTACAAAGAGCCTGCAGGCATTTTGGTTAGAACCTGTTGAGTCTATATCCAGATAAGCGACACCTCAATTTTGAATCTTCAGTTTTAGGAGCCTGGCGAATCTCTTTTATTAGGTTTTCATTCCCTCAACAGTGTTGTATAATTCCCACTGTAGAGGCCATGAGCATCTTCTGTTATGTTCATTTGCTAATAGAGCACATGGTTAATACGCACAAAGTCCTGAGTTCAATCCCCAGCACCACCACCAAAAAGAAAGAGAAAAGAAAAGCTGGGTGCGGGGGCACATATCTGTAGTTGCAGGAACTTGGGAGGCTGAGACTGGAGGATGTTGTGAGCCCAGGAGTTCAGCACTAGCCTAAGCAACATAGTGAGACCCTGTGAAATTAAAAATATAGATATATTTCCAGGCTTTTTGTTTTTATTTTTGGGTCCTAGAGACTCTACCACTAAGCTATATCCCCAGCCCTTTCTATTTTATTTTGAGATAGGGTCTTGCTAGTTGAGTTGTTGGAATTTTAGGTGTATCCGCTGTGCCTGGCTCTTTATCCTTTTGATGTCTGTAGGATCTGTTGTGACGGACCCTCTTTTGTTCCTGATAATTTGGTGATACTTGTCTTCTCTTTCTTGTTCCATTCTGCCAAGGAATTATTAGTTTTATTAATCTTTACATAGACTTACCTTTTGGGTTTATTACTGGTTTTTATACCAATTCTAAATGTTCTCATTCTAATTATTGAGGCATTTCTATGTTTCTAATAGTTTTATCATAGTCAGCATATTCTGTATGGTTTTAGTTCTTTTGAACTCATAGAGGCTTATTTTATGACTAGGGTAATGATCTACCTTGGAGAAAATCCCAAGTGCTCTTGAAAGGAATGTGTGAGATGCCCCATCCCAGCTCCTAGCATGTGCCCAGTGTCACCTGACCTCAGCCATGGGAAACACATTCCTGATTGTTGGTGCTGCCGTGAGCTGGTCACTGTGCCAGGTGCACTTCCTGGTTTCCGCAGCAGCCTCACAGGGGCAGATGTGGTTCCCATTTTGCTGATAAGGGGTTGAAAGCCACGCCACGTTCTGTTCCTGGGTGTCTTGGTCTGTAACTGACAGCCTGCTCACATTGGTCGGTGGCACCTTTCAGACCCTGTATGTTTACCCCTTGTAGATTTGTATCCTTACCTTTTAATTCCGTTGGTTTCTGCCTCTTTTATCTTGAAGCTGTCGTTAAACATACACACATTTATAGTTTTGAGGTCCTTGTCTCCAGTGGTATTTGTTTCTTTCTTTTTTGGTACCGGGGATTGAACCCTGGGGTGCTTAACCACTGAGCCACATCCCCAGCCAGTTTTATATTTTATTTAGAGTCGGGCTCACTAAGTTATTTAGGGCCTTGCTGAGTTGCTGAGGCTGGCTTTGAACTTGTGATCCCCTTGCCTCTGCCTCCTGAGCTGCTGGGCTTACAGATGTGGCCACATGCCCAGCTCTGGTGTGTTTCTTGCAGTCCCCCTTGCCCTGTGTCAGCACCCATGATCTGAATTCCCATGTTGCTCTTGTTGCATATCGTTTGCCTTTCAAGCCATTTATATTTAAAGTGGTCATTAGCGGACAGCATGGATCCATAAGTTGCTTTTTCAACTCCAACTCTGCCCTTTAATTGGATTTTTTTTGTTCCTCATTTTGAAAGATAAGAGTCACATAACAAATTTTCATATATAACAAGAAATTTGCCCCTTTAAAATCTCCTATTGGGTTGCTTTTAGTTAGTCATAAGGTGCAAACATCACCGGGCTCCCACTCCAGAATGGTCCCATCACCCTGTGCTGTAGCAGTACCACCAACCTCCAGTCCCTTGGTGACTGACTCTTCTTCTCCCCGAGCCGGTGGATTTGCATATTCTGCACATTTCACGTGCAGGGAGTCTTGCAGAGAGTGGCTTCTCGCCCAGCATGGTGGTCATCCTGTTGTGTGCACCATCACGATTTGTCTACCCACATGCCAGTTAATGAACACTTTCTGCCACCGGGCTGTGTGGGGTGGGGGTTCCTGGAGCAAGACTGTGCCTTGAGCATTTCCCAGTGAGGTTCCGTGCCGCTAGGGCAGACTGCAGTTTGGTTTCTGCCTGCTTTGCTCACTTTTCTATGCCTTGAAATAACATTTTAAAAACATTTTGAGCAGAATTAACAGTTGTTGTCTAACCTAGCTGCTTTGCTCCTGCTGGACTGCAGGACCTCCCTTCCCGGTCACCTGCAGGTGAGCAACACCAGTGTTCTCATTTTGTTTCAAAATCTTCCTGGGCCCTCTTGTTGTTGTAGGCCTCCACGAAGAAGTAGACTATTCAGAGAAATTGAAGTTCAGCGATGATGAAGAGGAGGAAGAGGTTGGGAAGGATGGCCGGCCAAAGTGGTAAGATGCCCTGTTCCAGCTCCTAGCATGCATCCAGTGTCACCTGACCTCAGCCATGGGGAATGCATCCCTGCATGTTGGTGCTGCCGTGAGCCGGTCTGTGCCAGGTGCATTTCCTGGTTTCCACAGCGGCATTGCAGGGGCAGATATGATTTCCGGTTTGCAGATAATCATATCTGAGGACAGCTGCTCGGGAATGCAGCCAGGCTTTGTATCTAGGCATGACCAGGACCTGTGCCTTGAATCTCTTGACCTGGACTCGTGTTTTCTCGAGTGTTATGCAGACGGCTTCTTCCATGGAGCATTTATGGTGTCATGCCCAGAAAGGCTTCTGTGGCCAGGCAGTTTGGAAAGCCACCTAGGTTCAGCTGCCTCCCTCCAGGGGCTTGAGCATGCTGCCCAGTGCTGGGGAGGAGGGCAGCAGGAGGTGGGGCGATGCCAGGTCCCACACTCATTGGAGCTCCTCATTCTTCTTCTGGTGTTGGCCTGTGTCACTGGTCTGCTTTCACCCAGTGCCCATTGGAAAATACTGCATCATGCACTTGGATTCTTTAGTTCTCATCTTGGTGTCAGTAGCTCCAGCTGCTGCTGTTGAAGTGATGTGATACCTGTGGCTGTCCTGCGGTTTTTCTGCCCTCATTGCCTCTGCAGAACTGCCCATCTCCTTGCCACATGACCACTGCACTTTTTTTTGGCAGAGGGTACCGGGAATTGAACTCAGGGCCACTTGACCACTGAGCCACATCCCAGCCCTATTTTGTATTTTATTTAGAGACAGGGTCTCACTGAGTTGCTTAGCGCCTCACTGAGGCTGGCTTTGAACTTGCGATCCTCCTGTCTCAGCCTCCCAAGCTGCTAGGATTACAGGTGTGGCCACGGCGCCTGGCCTGCACTTTTTTTTTTTAAAGCATGCTCACTGCTGCCCTGCCTCAGGTGGCAGTGCTTAGTTATGGCAGGCGTTCTTCCACTTGTTTTCTCATCAGTAACTGCACATTCATGCGGTGGAGCCTGTGAGTCTTTTGCTTGTTATTCCCTCTCTGCTCTGAAGCCCCTGCTGTTAGTGCCCCTGTTCTGGAGGGAGCCAGGGACAAGCTTCAATCACTTGTTTCTAGTGAGACACAAAAGAATGAACTAGCTGATGTGCTGGGCTGTGTCTCTGGGTCAGTTCTCGGAACATGGCGCTCAGAGGAATGTGACCAAGAATTTAAATTGGAAGTAAAGACATGAATGCTGCAGTCTCATGGGAGCAGCAGGACAGTTGTTCTGTCCCTCAGTTGACATGGAGTTAGGCATGGACTTTGGGCCTAGTTTTGCCCCTAGCTGTGACCAAGTATACCTTCAGTTCAAGAATGCTCAAATGACACCCCCCGCCCCCCGCAGACCTGCTCTTCTTCCAGCGTTCCCTGAGCTGGGTGATGGTGTCCAACTCCGAGAGACTCCCTTATGTATTTCCCAGTCTTTATTTCCTCATGGGTGATGGGCTCCTGGAACCTCCCTGCCTCTGCCACGTCCTCCTCTTTGTCTTTGGGGCCCATAGGGCCAGCACCCTCCTTGTCTGACCACCCAGAGGCCGACAGTGTTGTCTCCTTTCTCTCACCTGTGCTTGTACTGTGTCTACTTACCTGCCTGAAACAGGTCTTCTCTGATGGGCAGGTCAGAGGCCCTTAGCAGTTGCTCTTTCTACCTTTTCCTCATGCACCTTCCTTGTGTCATGCTCCTGCCTGCTACTGGTGTGTGTGTGCAGACACGCATGGTGTGTACATTAACCGTCCCTATCAGCCCTTCCTGGCCCTGGACTGCCTCACGGGCACCTGCAGGTGCACCTGTGTCTGGCTGCTGCACTGGGCTGCACCTTGTCCCTCCTGTGAAGCCCCTCGTGCCCCCTTCTGTGCGAGGTGTTCCTTCTCTGCTCCTCCTCCAGCTCCGCCCTCTGTTCCTTGGGGTTCTGGTTGAGCCCCTCCCTGTGCAGAGCCCAGGAGGAGCTGCAGTCTGTGGATGCAGAGTCCTGCCTCTAAGTTGCTGGCTCCTGCCTGCAAGAGGAGCCTGCTAACCTCTGAGGCTCAGTGTCAGCTCTTTCATTGGGGGTAACCAGGGTGTCTCTCCGCAGTCAGTGAAGTAACAAGTGTCATGTGCCCTGCCTGAAACTTTGTGTAAGAGTGACCTGGCAGTGCTGGTTTTGGGTTTGGGGGCTCATGTGCAGAGGGCCGGGGGGGGATCTGTTTGATAGGGGAGATTGGTGTATACACAGCTGGCTTCAGTGCTCCCCGGGGCCCCTGACTGCTGGGATCAGACATGCTTGACTGCCTGGGAATACTTCATGCTGAGTACCATTTGTCCTAGGAACAGCTGGGACCCGAGAACGCAGCGACAGTTGTCCCTGAGCTCTGCAGACAGTGCTGATGCCAAGCGCACTCAAGAGGAAGGGAAGGACTGGGGCGAAGCTGTGGGTATGTCCCGTGTTGCCCGAAAGGTGCCGGAGCCTCAGCCACCTTCCAGAAAGCTTCATGGCTGGGCATCAGGCCCAGACTACCAGGTACTGTGGACCTGGGGGGTTCTGCACCTAGCTGTTTTGCTGGGACTCTCCCTTCCTCCCTGTCTCTTTCCCACTCTCACTCTCAAAATTCACTTGCCCAGAGTTTCAAAGACAAAGATGACAACAGGTCTTCTAGCCTCTGACCTCTGTTTTGCACTTCACCGAGAACGTGGCTGGGTTCCTGAAAAGTCCTGGGAAACATTTCTTCTGCTTATTTTAAGCATCACAAAGTTACAGAATAATTGGAATTATAATATGAAGAAGATTTTTTCCGAGCCAACTTGATCAGTTCTCTTGCTGCAGAGCACTGACACTCTTCCGAGGTGACCTTGGTCAAAACCAGGGAGGAGTGTTGATTCTGCCGACTAGTCCTCAGAGCTATCACGTTCCCAGCTGTCACCTAAGGTCCTTTGTACCAGGGAATCTGGCTCAGAGCCACATGTCACACTTACCCGTGCTCAGCTAGTTCCCTCTCTCCTGGCCTGGGGGCTTCTGAAGTTGCAGGCCAGTGAGACATCCCTCAGGTTGGGCTGTCTGGTGCGTGTGTGCTGGGCCTAAGGCTCCTGTCCTGGCAGCAGATTCTCAGGTTCTTCTTTGCTTTCCACCTGGTGACCTTGCCTTGACATTGGCCTTGGGGACATGTGCTTTGATTTCATGGTTGATGTGGCATCTGCCACATTTTGGCTTTAGAGTTACTCATTTCTCTGTTATTGACAAGAAACTTGCGGGAAAAAAAAAACAAGACTGCATATCCCTTTACTGTTGTTTATTTTTTTCAGTGACTTGTAACCTTGGTACCTAGATCGTCTGGTTTGGCTTTGGGAGCCTCTCTGGCCTGTGTTCAGCACTCCTTTCTTTCTGGAGGATAACCCAGTCCACACTCCTCCTATCTTAGACCTCACTTTGCCCTGGATTTACCCTTTCTTCAAGAAGTCCTGGTTCCTTTGATTGACATTATGTTTAGAAACCAGTATCTAGGCTCTGGGAGCCCCCTGCTATTGGGTGTCTCTGTTCCTGGGCCTTCTCCTGGACGCGGAATGTGTGTGTCAGCACGCGTGTTCAGAGCTGTGCTCTTTCTGGATCTGTCTCTGTTGGAAACCCTGAGGTTGCAGGACTGCCTCCAGTTCCAGGGAATCCTCTCCTCTCTGTTGGTTGGTTCTCTTTCCTGCAGCAGTGAGAAGTCATGTTATCCCTAGGTTTTATCCTTACTGGCTCAGCACCTGCTTGGGACTGGTTTCCCCTTCTGCTGCCCCTCCCTGCCTGCGCAAGTGCCCTCCCCTCTGACATCACCCCTGTTTCACAGTGCCCTGAATGTCCCTGCTCAGTGCTCTCCTCATGATTGTCCTCTCTGCCCACTTGGGCTCCGCCTCCCTCATGAGGCCACCTCTCCATCCACTTTGATCTTGCTGGCTAGAGCCACCTGCACTGAGCCAGTATGACTCCCTGGCCCCAGACACCTACATGACCTGGTCACAGCTAGTGGCATCAGGGCTGAATTGTTCAGGAGGCTGTGGACTGGGTAGAAGAGGCACTATTTTGAGTAGTCTAGGTGAACTTGCCATTTTCAATTTGGGTTCTCCTTCTGCACTTTCTTACCTTCAGTCTTATTAAGTACTTGGTATGCCAGGCACTGTGCTGGGCATAGGGCAACAGAGTGAAAATAGAATGCATACAGTGCCACTCCTGGAAATTATCTTGCAGGGGGTTTAAATTTTCACTCATATATTGATTGGGGTAGCTCAGTATTCAAAAGGTTTCACTTTAATCTGGTCATATGCTAGAAGTTAACTGGAAAAGGCAACAGGAACAAAATCTATATAATTTATGCACCCAAGTGTATTCTAACCAAATCACTGACTATTATATGAAATGATGGATAGCCATAGGGCAGCATAGTGGATGCACCAGAGGTCTTGACAGTGGACACAGAGTTTGTGGTCCTGTTTCTAGGAAATTGTCTAAGTGGAATAACCCAAGTGTAAGGCTGTGTTGGGGGTTCACCTGGAGGGTGGGTGAGCACCAGCGAGCAAGTGGTTAATGGTATGAGCCCTGCAGAGATCAGTGAGTAGCCCTGCCCCTGACACAGGCAGTGGTTCATGTTCAATGGCAAAGTATAAGGAAAGTGCACAGTTGGGTCCAGAGTATATCATGTAAAAATCACCTTCCTGCTTTTCATTTGGAATTTTAATCTTCTGATTATAGTAATTATCTCTAATTGTAAGAGGTTGGTTTTAGGAGAAAATGTCTCAAATACAGCACATGTGGCTTATTCCTCCTACTGAGGTTCAGTTAACCCGTACAAGACGACAGAGCTCTTGCTTATTTCTGCTCAGTGGCCTTGACGCCTTTGTAAACACCATTCAAAACAGGGCATCTTTTTTTTTTTGAGGGGGTACGGCTGCACATCTCCCCCCTTGGTGCCATTTAGGGGTGCATCTGCACCCTGCAGGCCAGGGAGACACCCCCCTGGTGCTGAGGATATTCATGCTGCATGTGTAGCACCATGCTCACCCTGTGACCGGCAACTAGCAAGAGGCTCAGGAATGGAGGTGCATCTCAAAGGGACACTTTGAGATGAGCTTTTTCATTTCTGTATAAAGACCAACTTGAAGCTGTATGTCTCACAGTGAATTTCATTTTCTCATGGATCTGTTTACTCAGGGACTCTTATATTTTCATGGAGCAGGAGAAGAATGGTTTTATGACTAAGGAGTGATGCGTGTTGACTCCTGCACCCTTGGACACCCTAGTCTTGTGTGCTTGTTGGCAATGGTGAAATCATCTCGTGTCCACCACAGAGCTGAGTACTTGTGAGCACCTGTTTCACCTGCACAACCCCCAGGGCTTCCTTTATTGGCCCCATTTTACAAATGAATGACTAAATGACATTTCAACATAGTCAGGGACAGAGCAGGACTAAAACCCAGGTCCAGGTGATATTGCACTTGCCTTGCACATAGAAGACTCTGGCTTCCATCCTTAGAAGTTTAAAACATAAGTAAATAAAACCCAGGTCTGCCTGTGGTGCCACTGTGCTGCTTCTCAAAGGTGTTCAAGGATCGCTGGAAGGAGAACTAATCCCACAGAGGCAGTGGCCCCTGCCTGTTGGGTTTGTGACCCACCATCTCATCAGAGGCTCTGTTCTCTTAGCAGAAATCCTCAGTGGGCAGTGTGTTCCGGCAACAGTCTATCGAGGACAAGGAGGATAAGCCACCCCCGAGGCAGAAGTTCATTCAGTCAGAGATGTCCGAGGCCGTGGAGCGGGCACGAAAGCGCAGGGAAGAGGAGGAGCGCCGAGCCCGGGAGGAGAGGCTGGCAGCCTGCGCTGCCAAGCTCAAACAGCTAGACCAGAAGTGCAAGCAGGCCCAGAAGGCCAGCGAGGCCCAGAAGGCCAGCGAGGCCCAGAAGCAGGTGGAGAAGGAGGTACCTCGGTCCCCAGGCACCGAGAAGGCCCCCCCACAAGAAAATGGCCCTGCTGTCTGCAAAGGTAAGAGGCAGGTCCTCCCGCCAGCTGGAACCTTGGACTGGGCAGTGGTTTGCTGTTCCCATTCTCCGACTTCTTAGCAGCCTGTAGCTAGGGCTGGATTACATTGAAAGCGCCAGAATAGAGGCCAGGGTCACGTGCCTGGGTCTGGTCCTGTTTTGGGTTCTTAATCTAGCTGGTGAAATGCCTTGCCTCTCTAAAGCGTGGCACCTGCTTGCATGCTGAGGGGCATGTGAGATGCTGCACATGTGCAGGGCGGGGGATGGTGCTGGGTGGGAGTGTCTGGAAGGCCTGAGTAGTCTTGCTGATAGTCTCCCTCTTGTCATTCTTGTGGCTGTTACCATTACTGTGCAGTTACACGAGGCACAGATGATAAAGGACATTCACAAAGCACAGGGTCCTTTTATGCAGAGGGGAGGAGCCCACCTCTTGTTAGAATGCATTCTCCCTGTGCCAGAGCTTGCACAGTGCTGCATGACCCGACAGACGTAGCAGTAGGGGGCGCTCTCCAGGAAAGCCAGCTGTGTCTCTGTCATCTCCTTCAGTCCCCTCATGTCACCTCTTGTTAGGAGACAGGGGCCCATATTAGACACAGGCCCTGAAATGTTTGATCTGGTAGCCATGTGCCCTGGCCAAGAAGCTCAGAGAAATCAAGTTTTCTTCTGTCTTGTCTTTTTTTTTTTTTTCTGGTACCAGGGATTGAATCCAGGGGGCACTTTACCACTGAGCCACATACCCAGCCCTTTTGAAAATTTTTTATTTCGAGACTTGAGGCTGGCTTTGAACTTTCAATCCTCCTACTTCAGCCTCCCGAGTTGCTAGGATTACAGGCGTGTGCCACCGCGCCCAGCTCTGCTCTCCTTTCACAGTCTCAGTACTCGGGGAGGGGCAGTAGAGAGACTGCGGGGAGCATTTCTCCTGGGCAGGCACTGTTCACTGTCTCATTCGGTCCTCACATGAGTCCTGTGGAGTGGGCGTGACTGCTATCCTTCCTTACAAAGGAGGGAACACAAAAGGAGAAACTAAACCTGTGCCCAGGTCACACCACCTGTGGACATGGGGGATTCGTCCTGTTTGGGGAACGGCCACTCTCGGGCTACCAGAGTCCTCTATCAGACCTCCGCTCATAGCTGACTCTGATCACATGCACGTCCGCTGACCTCCTGGTCCTTGTCCCCATCTCTAACGTAGTTGTGGGTACAGCTCGCTCACAGTGTCCTGTGGGTAATCCAGGAGCTGGTGCCCAAGGAGTATGTAGTGTGGGCTGGGCCCAGCACTGAGTCCTGCACAGAATGTTCCTGCCCACAAGAGAAGCACTTGCTGTTCAGCCATTGGTCACCTGAGTGCTGTGAGCTCATTGTGGCTTCTCTTTGCTTGCTCATTCTCTAGGCTCCCCAGAATTCCCTGCCCAGGAAGCCCCCTCCACTTTCTCAGAGGAGGCACGCACAGCTTCCCCAGCTGTGGGTCAGAGCAGCAGCAGTGAGGAGGAGGCCAGGGAGTCTGCGTCCCCTGCACAGGAATTCAGCAAGTATCAGAAGTCCCTTCCTCCACGGTTCCAGCGCCAGCAGCAGCAGCAGCAGCAGCAGCAGCAGGTGAGCACCGAGCCATGGCCCCTCCCGTGTCCTCATGCATCCTGCTGTTGCCCTCATGCATCCCGCTACCACACAGTCGTGCAGGGGTCACATTCCAAACTTGTGACTCTGTAGACCACCCCACCATTATTCTTCCCAGTGCTAGGTGCCCCCCGAATGAATACCACCTTGTTGTGGTTTTCTAGGACATGAGGTAGTGGGGTACACGTTGAGTTCCACTGGCTTAGGTTGAAGAGCAGCGACCTCTCACACGCTGGGGACCCATGGGGTCCTCCAGGACAGAGGCTGTGGGCTGTACCAGGAGCTGTCAAGTGGGACGGGGTTCCTGAGTGTCGGGTTCCTGTGCCAGTGGCGGTTCCTGACTAGTCACATGTAGCTGTGGCCCGTGGTGTCCTGGTTGGCTAGGCTTGTTAAGCCCCTGCTTCTCCACGTGTGATCCAGGAAGGGCAAAGACTGCTTCACTGTGGCAGCAGGAGCCTCGTGTGGTGTGACAGTGATGCCTGTGAACTGACAAACACCAGCACCATCGCAGTCAGCCTTTTGTAAACCTTAAAGGGGACCTGCTTTGGGCCCTGGAGAAACTCACATGGCTAGTTCTGCCCTGGTGCTCTCGCAGGCTGGTAGTCCCTCTGCTTAGCATGCTGTTAAGTGAGGCAGCCTCGCAGCCTTGCTGGGAACCGAGCCTGGGGTGGAAACTGAGCTGACATGGAGGAGTCGCTTGGTGGGAGCCCAGCGCTTGGGTGTGTAATACATTATTATTAATTAACATCAACCGAAGATTCTTCACAATGTGTGTGCTCTGGCAAAACAGACCACAGCCTCAGCCTTTCCCCAGCATTTCCTTTGATTTCTTATAAAACCGTCAACCCAGCTTCTCTGCTGCAGGCGTTCAGGAAGCGTCTCTGGGCCCCACTGACCTGTGAGTAGTCCATGGGCTTGGAGTAGGAACATCCTTGGGAGAGATCCCTGGAGTTACTTGTGCCAAAACACTGCCGTCACAGTGACTGTAGGCAATTCTTCACGGGGAGTAGGGAGGACGGTGGTGGGGAAACCCTTCCTGAGGGTAGAAGGACACCTGCAAGCACCAGGGCAGCCTGGCTGGTTGGCCCCCTGGGGAGCTGTGTGAGACAGGAGGAGCTGTGGGTGCAGGCAGTGTGGCTGGAGTCGGAGCTCCAGTCTCCTGACTGCTGAGCTCTGTTTCTTAAGTGTTCCTCAGAGGTGCAGGGAGTGCCAGTGGACAGCCAGCTGGACAGGTGGCCTTTGGTTTGCAGAGTCTAGGATATGTGCTGGAAGCCTGTGGGGCAGGCCATCCTTGGGATCTGCCATGAGTCCTGCTGGGCTGCTGACTCAGGGTTCACTGGGGAAGTCAGCACCCTCCGTCACTGCTGCTGTTCATTCCTCTTCCCAGGCCAACCAGGCCTTCTGGGCTCGTGACTTAGGGAGCTCAGCGACACACCTGCAAACCCCAAGCACTGCAGGAAGTACGGTTCTTTGGGACCAGGGGATGGGCCTGGGCTCAAGGGTCTTTTGGTGGCCTCCCAAGGAGACCCAGAGTTAGGGACAGACAGGCCTAGAATGTTCCATGGCCCGGCATGTGCAGGCAGAGCTGTGTGGAGCAGAGAGCTGGGGCCAGTCATGGAGTTGAAGCCAGGGAGGCAGATTAGGCATGGTCCCACAGGACACTGTGGGTCACCTGTACCCTGGTAGGTCAGTGGTTGTAGGGCACGGGGGACCGCTGAAGGTGCTTTTGAAGCTCAGAGCCAACGGCTGGGTGCGAAAGATGACCCTTGCTGAGTAGAGGATGGGTGAAGAGGATGGGACTGGGACGGGAATGATGGCCGTCCTTGGGTCGTGGCTATAGACCAGGGTCCTGTGGGAAGTGTGCTGGTCTGTTGGTCAGTTTCAGTGGGACGTTTGATCTACATGGAAGCCTCATGTGTCAAGGGCAGCACCAGTGTACCTGGCCCCTGTTGTGGTAGGCACGACTGCCCACCCAGCCCTAGGAGACTCCAGCCTGATGGTTGTGCTGTTGGGGCTCCCCTCCAGGCAGCTGCCTGTCTCCTCCCTCCTGGAGGGCTTTCTGTGCCACATGCCAGAACGCTGGAGACTATGGTCGCTTACCCCTGTCTGATCAGGTCTCTCTTCTGCGTCAGGAGCAGCTGTACAAGATGCAACACTGGCAGCCGGTGTATCCCCCGCCTTCCCACCCACAGCGAACCTTTTACCCGCACCACCCCCAGATGCTGGGCTTCGACCCCAGGTGGATGATGATGCCTTCCTACATGGACCCTCGGATCACACCCACCCGGACCCCTGTGGACTTCTACCCCTCAGCCCTGCACCCTTCAGGTGAGCACGGGGCTGGACAGTGGGTGGTTAGGGTGGCATCTCAAGAGCGAGGCCCTTGGTGTTCGTTCTGGCCTCCAGGACTGGTCTGTGTCTTGCAGAGCGCAGGTAAGGTTGTGTTCCTGTCCTGGACAGTTACCGGAAGAAAGCAAGACCCCGCATTTTAAATGGCTCAAAGTGATTTTGAGGTCTTGCTGCCTCACACAGTCCCTTTCGATTCTCACTGTCTTTGCATATTGTCTCTTTTTCTTCCTTCATTGGTCTTTCCCAGGGTTTGTCTAAGGCCTTTTTAAAATCAGAATTGGGGTTTCTTATTTTTCCTTTATCTTATTTGGGTTTTAGTTAATCATTTTCTTCTTTCTACCGCTTTATTTCTCTTGAAATTATTCTGTTTATCTTGTAAGTGATTGTGTTGGACACTTGGTTCAATAATTTCTGACTTTCAAGATGATGTTGCGGCGTCGTGGCCAGGTATGATGGTCTGATGTGGGCCAGGGGCCAGCAGACTTCTCGCCTGTGGCCAGGCATCGCATGTCATGGGCTTTGGTCAGCTCTTCAGTTCTGCTGTCGTAGGAAGAAGCAGCCATGGGCAAATCGTGAATGAGTGCATTTGATTGTTTTCCAGTAAAACATCATTTAAACAGATAAGAAACCAGACTGTGTTCAGAGGCTTGCCCTTGTTGCCCACTCTCGGTTGGCTGACATTTGTTGAGGTTTTCTTTGTAGGCTGTTACAAAGTCAGTTTTTAATTTTTTCCTGTTTGTTTTCTTCTTTATTCTTTTTGCCTGAAAAGAATCTGTGTTCTGTTGGATGAGTCCGTTCAGTTGAGCTTGCCAGTTATGTTGTACAAGTGCTTCTTGCGTTACATTTTTTTATCTCCTTAATTAGTTACTGAAAGGTGTGTAGAATCACCCTGCACCAGGGGCTGGGGGCTTAGTACATTGGTAGAGCCTGTGAGTGTGTATCAGGCCCTGGGTCCAATCAGTAGCACAAAAAAAGAGAAAAGAGAAAACAACAGCAAAGCTCCCAATATGGCCGTGGACTTGTCGGACTCTCCAGCAGTGTCCGTCTTTGGAGGCACAGAGTGTGGAATGACATCTATTCCTGTTGTCACCTACCACCTGCTCCGGTGGTGTTTTTCTGCCTTTACCATCTGCTTTGTCCAATAGTAGCACGATGATATCAGTTTCCTTTTGATTAGAACTTAGAGTCTCTTTTGTTCAGTTTTTTGCTGCCATTTCTCTGAGTCCTTATTTCTAGGGAGTGCATAACTTTTTGTATACAAGACCTATATGGTCTTACTCTGAAAATTCTATGGCTTTTAACTACCAAAGTTGCTCCCTTTACATTTATTCAAATTTTATATTTAGATTTTCCCATTAATCTGTCTTATGCATTCCGCTTATCCCACTTTCCGTGTGTGTGTGTGTGTGTGTGTGTGTGTGTGTGTGTGTTTCCCTTCTACGTTCTGTTTCTTATGTTAGTGACATTAAAATCCTTACATGAGGACTGGGTACACCTGGTGGTAGAGTGATTGCCTAATATGTGTGAGACACTGGGTTCCAGCCCCAGCACTGCCCCCCCCCCCCAAAGAAAATCCTATCGTGCCCTCTTGACCTACAGAAGGGTCTACTCGGTGTCTCCACCTTCATCTGAACCTGCTGACCTCTGTCTCTATTCTTGTGCCCACACCGGCAGTTACTGTTTTGTCATCTTCTCTGTGCTATTGAGCTGGGCCTGTGTGTTCCCTTGTCTCGATGGCCTTTCTTCACCTGGGGTGGGCCTGTGTCATCTCTGACAGTCTTCTGCCATTCGGGTTGCTGGCCTGAACAGAGAGCTGCAGGCGGGTGCTCTTCCTCTGGGTGCTGTGCAGATCTTCCTGTTTTCTTCTGGCTCCTCTTGCTGCTGAAAACTTGATCCATTCTTAGGTCTTCTGTGCTGTATTGTCTCTGGCTGTTTTCGAGGTCTTGTCTTGTCTTGGGTGTCCTTGGTTCTGTCACTATGTGCTGTGTTCAGGTGGACCTCTCTGATTACTCTGCTTGGGAGTCCTTGTGCTTGAATCTAAGGTGTACCTCTTTCCCCACTTCTGGAAGATTCTCTTCTGATAATTGCTTCAAGTTATTGACTCTCCTTGTTCCTTTTTCTTCTTTGTATTTAGGTCTTTACTTTCTGGTACTGGGGTAGCCCGTAGCACTTAGGTCCTGACCTTGATGTGATCTGCCAGGGCTCTACCACTGGGCGACATTCAGACCCTCCTTGTTCCTTTTATCTTTTCTTTCTAGGTCCTGCTCTAGGTTTATTATGTACCTTCCATGCTGTCTTTTAAGTGTCTTAAATCAGAGAAAGTGAAAATGAGCAGGCGTTACCCCTTTGTTGCCTTCCAGGAAGCCCCTGGCTGTTCCCAGGACACTTCTCTCCCCAGCTGAGTCTGTCTACTTTTATTACTGTCCAGTGAGGTGTTTTTTTTTTTTTTTTTTAATATTTTCTAGTTGTGAATGTACCTGTATTTTATTCATATGTGGTACTGAGAATCGAACCCAGTGCCTCACGCATGCTAGGCAAACACTCTACCACTGAGTTACAGCCCCAGCTCTGTTCAGTGAGTTTTAATTTCAGTGACTGTGTGTTTTTATGATTAGAATTTATTTCATAAGCCTTGTATTCTTTTTTTTTTTTTTTTTTAAGTTTTTTAAAAAATTTCCTTTTATGTTCTTAATTATTTCAAATGTGATTTCCTAGTGATTACCAGACGGTTGTGCTGTCTGAAGTCTTGAGGACTCACTGTGAGCTCGTGGTGAATACTCAGCACACGTGTTCTGGTGGTTTTGGATCTAGATTGGTTTCAGGAAGCAGCGTGGAATCGGGTTGAGGGCATGTCCCTCCATAGTCTCTTTAGCTGGAACCACCCTTGATGGCAGGTTTCTGGACTATTCTGGGAGTTAGAAATTTGGACCCCTTCTGCCTAGATCCCCATGGAAGCAGCCATGTGGTTTCTGAATTCCAAGAGAGTGCTTTTCCCTGCCCAGATCCAGGCACTCAGCCCTGTTGAAAATCACACATTCTCCAGTGCACCTGACAGGCATGGGCAGAGGCTGGGAGAGGCATAATTCGTCCAGGTGCACTTTGGAGGGTCTCTGTTTTGAGCAGGTTCCATCTGCACTCCTTGTCCTATGAGGGTGCTGAAGACCAAGCCTGAGGGTTTCCAGGCTGAGCTGCCCTTCTTTCTGCTCTTCAGGGTGTTCCAGCTCCTGCACTCGTAGCTCTGGTTTTCAGCTTCTGGAAGTTAGTATTTTCTTGTGAACACAGCTCTACAAGCAGAACATTTGATCTATTCTGCCCAGCCCTTTTGTGACAGTAGGGGTTTTCGGGTCTTCGTGTAGCCACAGACAGGGCGATGTGTGCCTCATGAGGAATGCGTGATGCAAGGCACGAGGCTGTGGGTTTCCAGGGAATCCCGCCCATCTTGAATCGGACTAGCGGTGCTGGAGTCCCCCTGTCAGCAGCACTTGAGCAGTGTCCAATGGCTAGTGCAGAGCTTCTGACTGCTGGCCTGATGCTGAACCACCTTCTCACCAGATGAGCTGCAGTCAGGAGACAGGCGCGACAGTGTCATAGGGCTTTGAGTATTTCAGAGTCAGATCTGTTTCCTTGCAGATGTAGGCCCAGACCTGGGCAGCACCTGTGCCAGCCCCACTGCCCCACCTGACAGGCATGGGCAGAGGCTGGGAGAGGCACGATTCGTCCAGGTGCCCAGCCAGTTACAGCTGGTGGGACCTATATGCTGGTCCAATCTGGCAGTTAGCAGTTTTTTTGTTTTGTTTTTAACATTTTTTATAGTAAATGGACACAATACCTTTATTTTATTTATATATGGGGCTAAGGGTCGAACCCAGTGCTTCACATGTGCTAGGCAAGCGCTTTATCAACTGAACTCCAATCCCAGCCCAAGTTAGCAGTTTTTTGTTATTTTTCAACTGCCACCCTCCTCCCTCACCGCATTCCCAAAATCTCCCCATACACCATATGTAGTGTTGCCATCCTTTTTGGAATTAGGGATAAAAGGAAATAAACTCAGCCTAAATCTTCCTGCAAGGATTCGGAAGTAGACAGTGCTGGCTGCCATTCTCACATGCTCTCTGGGATGTGGCTCGTCTGCCTAGGTCTGAACTAGAGAGCTTCCAAGCATCTCTGCTGCACAGCACTCCTCAGCTTGCTGACCCCATGGCCTCTGGTTAGCACTGAGGGATTCCACTTGTCATTTCCAGTTTGCATGTCCCAGTTTTATTACCCTTTGATACAGGCACTTGGTCTGAGAACTCAGCTTGTCTCTGCAGGTCTTTGAACAGGTCAGGTAGCCTCAGGGTCCCTGGTCAGAAAAGAGTGAAGGCCACTGTTCTGGAGTGGGGTGCTGTGTCCAGGGGCAGGCCGAGAGACTTACTGTTCCACGTGGCTGGCTGGTTGCCATGGGGCTTTCTAAATGACATGATTCAGAATTGTCCTTTGTCTTGGCCAGGACTGATGAAGCCCATGATGCCCCAAGAGTCCCTCAGTGGGACTGGATGTCGTTCTGAAGATCAGAGCTGTGTGCCCCCACTCCAAGAAAGAAAAGTGACAGCCATCGATCCAGCTCCCGTCTGGAGCCCAGAGGGCTACCTGGCGCTGCAGAGCAAGGGCTACTCATTGCCCCACCCAAAGTCAAGCGACACTTTGCCTGTGGATGTGCATGTCAGGTGAGATGACACTTGCTCCCGCTGCCTGGATGCTACAGGACAGCTCTCTGGTCCTAAGGGAAAGGCCCTGTCCCAGGAGATGCTGCCTTGGGAGGCGGGAAGGGGTATGGATTGTGCTTGGATACTGTGTGAACGGCTTTTACTGATGGGGGCTGAAGGCTCAGCAGGAGCCCCAGACTGCCAGTCTTGGATGTGGAGTCGGGGAGGGCCTCACAGACAGGCAGGTCGAGGGAAGGGGTGTGGGCTTGCCCCTTGGTGAGTAAACAGGGCTAGCCCTGCTGCCCAGGGCCCGACTCCAGCTGACTCCCAGGCTCCAGCTTGCTCCAGGGGACCGCCAGCTTCTCTCTGTCTCCGGGTGGCAAGCTGAGCCTGCCCAGTGGCCACTGCCTTCTCTGCGCTCACGGACTTCAGGGGCCATGGAGGGCCCCATGGCCCAGCTGCTCTAAGACGTGTTTAAAGATAGAGCAAGTGTTTGCTGTGTTTTTCTTTCTTTTTTAAGGCATTTTTTTTTTCTTTCTGAAACTGAGCTTTGTGTTCAGCATGGAAGCCAGGAACCCAGCTCCAATCACATTGACTGATTTCTCTGGTTCCTTTTCAGGAATGAAAGCTCTTACTCTGCCTCCCCTGGAAGGTCAGGGGGCGTAAGTGCCCAGCGCCATCTCTTTGAGGAGAGAGGGGAGGAGTACTTGAGTGCTTTTGACAAGAAGGCCCAAGCAGACTTTGACAGCTGTATCTCTTCTCAAAGAATAGGCCAGGAGCTTTTATTTCCACCCCAAGAAAATGTTCAGGAGGCGGGCGCTCCTGGGGGCCACGCCCAAAACCTCAGGCGTCCCCCGCTGGAGCCTGACTTTGTCCCAGTTGAGAAAAAGCCAGAGTTTTGCAGCTGGGACATTGGCCACCAGCCAAAGGCCCCTGACACAGCCAAGGGTGTTGAGCAGGAGGCGCCCCGGGAGGAGCCGTCCTTCCATGCTGCCTCCTGGGAGAAGGAAGGGAGTCCTGACAAACAGCCAGACCCAGAGCCTGAATGGACACCTGAGCCCCGGAGTTCCAGTGGCCAGCACCAGGAGCAGCCAGGCAGGACCCGGAGGTCAGGGCCCATCAAAAAACCGGTCCTCAAAGCCCTGAAAGTGGAGGAGAAGGAGAAGGAGCTAGAGAAGGTTAAGCGGGGGCTCGGAGAAGAGAGTGCACGGCTGGCCACAGAGAAGCCTGAGCAGGATGAGGACGAAGAGAACGACCCTGCCCTGGCCAACGCCTCCCCCTCCACTTTGGAGGACAAGGCCTCCACCCGGGCTGGGTCCAACCACGAGGCCAGCAAATGGGATGCGGATGAGGATGAGAAGGCTGACAAGGCCTGGGAGCCCAGACCATCCCGAGAGAACAGCGACATTCCCCCCACCAAGAGAAACAACTGGATCTTCATCGATGAGGAGCAGGCCTTTGGGGGCCGGGGGCAGGCCCGCAGCCGGGGCCGAGGTTTCAGAGAATTCACTTTCCGAGGTCGGCCAGCCGGGGGAAATGGAAGCAGCCTGTGTGGCGGGGGCGTCCTGGGGGCCCGCGGCATCTACAGCAGCAGCCAGCGGAGTGGCCGCGGTCGGGGCCTGCGGGAGTTCCCCCAGCCAGAGGACAGCCCCAGAGCCAAGCCGCGGCGGCGCATCGCCAGCGAGACCCATAGCGAGGGCTCCGAGTATGAGGAGCTGCCCAAGCGGCGCCGGCAGAGGGGCTCGGAGAGCGGGACGGAGGGCTCGCTCCTGGGGCGGGAGGAGGGCGCCCTGCAGACGGACTCCTGGCGCTCTAGCAAGGCGTACCCCGAGGACCAGAGCGGCCCGGAGGCCAAGGGTCGGGGCCCTCGGGCCTGTGGCCGTGCTCTCCCGCCCAGGCTGAGCAACGGCGGCTATGGGCGCAGGGCCTTCGCCCCCAAGGAGCCCGTCCCCTGGCAGAGCAGGAGCCCGGGCGGCTCCTGGCAGGAGTACGGTCCTGCCGACACGGGTGGGACCCGGCGTGCCACGGACAGAGACTACGTCCCTGACTCCTACCGACATGCGGACTCGTTTGGCAGCAGGGCCTTTGAGGACAGCCGCTTGGAGGACAAGAGGTCCTTCTTCCAAGACGACCATGTTACAGATTCTGAGAATGCAGAGAACCGGCCGTTCCGGAGGAGGCGCCCCCCACGCCAAGACAAGCCCCCGCGCTTCCGGCGGCTGCGGCAGGAGCGGGAGTCCTTGGTCCTGTGGGGACCAGAGGAGGAGGCCCCCCTGCTGGCGGGCCAGTGGCCAGGCCGGCCCAAACTCTGCCCTGGGGACAAGGTTGGCGCAGGGGGCCGCAGGTCCCCAGACCCATCCTGCCACAACTCTTCTGACCATGCCAACGAGGAGTGGGAAACGGCCTCTGAGAGCAGCGACTTCAGCGAGCGCAGGGAGAGGCGCGGGGGCCCAGGGGAGCCCGACCCACAGGGGGACGGTGGCCTGTCTGGGGCCGGTCTGGGTGAGAAGAAGGAACTGGCCAAGAGGAGCTTCTCCAGCCAGAGGCCCCTGGCTGACAGACAGAGCCGCAAGCTGGAGCCGGGAGGGTTTGGGGAGAAGCCCGTTAGGCCAGGTGGTGGTGAGACGTCCCCCCGCTATGACAGCCAGCAGAGCGGGACACCCTTGAAAGCCAAAAGGTAACCGAGAGCACCACCCCAGGCCCCTGTTGTTGTCCCCCCCGCAGCAGCCCCGAGTCCATGCATGCATGCCCGCCGGGCCACGCGCTGCCGGCCGCTGTGTGTCAGCGTCTCATCCTGCTCCTGCATCGCTTGTCTGCTTCTCACGATGTGTCCTTGTTGTTGTGGCCTGACAGTCTGAGCCTGAAGTGTGCCCTGCCCCACCCCGTGCCTTGTGACTGCAGCCTTGTCCCTGCCAGGGTTCAGCCTCTGAATGGTCCTTGGAGCCCTGCAGTAAGGGAATTGCCTATATGTGGCACCTGGGAGCACTGGCCAGTCCACCTGATCCCTCTGCTCCTCAGACAGCTGGGCAGCATCCTGGAAGGCCTCACTAGCCTTCTGGCTGCACGGAGGACGGCTCTTCTTCCCCCAGCAGCTCTGCTTCTCTACCACTTCCTTGGTGTGGTCAGAAGTTGCCAGAGCAGCTGGGAGGAGCCACCTGCAGCCCAAGGAACATCTCTCCTTTGGCACCAGAGGTTTCTTAGGTGGACAGTCTGTGCTTGGTGCCACTCGAGGCCCACAGGCTCCTGCGTGGGGAAGGGTGGCTTTGCTGACTCTGCCTACTCCATGTCTCAGAGGGGACGTGCAGGGGTGCTAAGGCACCTCAGCACACTGACGCTGCCTGTCCTCCTTAGAAGTTCAGGGCACAGAAACTCGGGGGTGTTTTACCCCTAAAGGTCAGGCGTTAGTCTGACCTTGCTCTCTGGGGCCCAGAAGTCCCAACTTGGCTCTGCCCTGAGCCTCATAGCAGGGCAAGGCCAGGGCTGCTGGCTGCTGGCTCAGAACAGAAAGGCCGGCAGCCCTGTCTGAAGCGTGCCCCACCTTCCCTCTCTCCCTCTGCGCGTGCTGAACGCAGCAGGCCGTGGGAGAGAAGAGAGCACGGAGGGGGGTGGTGAGGGCAGCTCTTCCCTGCCCAGGGCTCTGCCCAAGCAGTGTGGGCTGGGCTCTTCTTGGAGTAGGTGTCGGTCCACAAGGCTACTGTTGATGTGGCCTAGAAAAAGGAACTCACCTGGGCCAGGCTGCTGTGTGCGTGCAGGCTGCATGCACTTGTGGGTTTTTTTCTTTCTTTTTTGCTAGCCTTTTGGCGTCTCTGACTTCACAGATCTTTTTTGCTTTATAGGTCCCCGGATGAGGCCCTGCCTGGAGGCCTTGGCTGCAGCAGTGGGAATGGCCACTCGCCTTACACCCTAGAGCGGGCCACACACACCAACGCTGATAGTCCAGAAGCCACCAGTAAGAAGGCAGAGAAGGAGTCCGTGCTGGCCGTTCAGAGGGCTAGTGAGCAGGAGGAGGCCCGGAAGCAGTTTGACCTGAGCTATGGAAGTGAGTCTAGGCACCTCTCATCCTTCCAGAAGATCCCAGGTGGATCCAGGGCCTCTGTAGTCTTTGGGTGGGAACACATAATTCTTCTAAGGGGAGAATTAGCCCTTCCAAGTGACCGTCAACTTCCGAGAACTGCCTTGAACAGGCACCGGGCTGAGTTCTTGGCTGTGGTGGTGAGCAGTACAGCTGCTTGCCACCCGCGCTGCACACTGCCTCGCTGGGGAGCCCGATGCCCAGTGGTTCAGGGAGATTCCAAGTCCACCAGCTGGTAGGAGCGAAGCTGGCTGGCTGTAAGAGCCTCATCCCCAAAGATTGTGTCCTTCTCACCATGGTGCTGCTCAAGCTGTCCTGGGTGAGACTGCAGGGGTTAGGGTGGGAGGTGCGGCCATGGCCAGGTCTCTATAGCTGTGGTGGATGCTGGAGCTCCTTGGTAGCGTCCAGCCAGATGCTGCCCAACTTTCTGGGCCAAGCCTGTCCTCAGAGATCAGGTGCAGTAGAGTTGGGTGATTCATGGAAACCACAACTTCTCTTGGTTCAGGTGCCATCATTGAAAACTGTGCGTCTGGCCCTGGGGAGGAGAGTGAGATGGGCTCCATGGTGGGCGAAGGCTTCATTGAAGTGCTGACCAAGAAGCAGCGCCGGCTCCTGGAGGAGGAGAGGAGAAAGAAAGAGCAGGCTGCGCAGGTGAGCAGGCGCAGGCTGGGCATGGGGCTGGGGAACCCAGGGAAGAGGGGAGAATTAGCTGCTAGGCTTGCGTTGCTCCCAGTGCCTGCCATGCAGCCCACGGGAGCAGGTGAGGGCCGTCACCATTTCACAGAGGGGAATCTGGGTCACAAAGAGGCTGACTCCTCAAGGCTCAAACTTACGTGGGGTCATACCTATTGGCCGCCAGGACTCCTCCCTCCACAGGGTCCCCGCCTGGGTGGGTGAGAGTCCTCTTCCCTCAAGCCATGAGATCAGGAGCCCTGTGCCACACGGGAGGTTTGCAGTCCGCCACTCCTGGGGGTTTGGCTGACCTGCCAGTATGCTCAGTGGCCAGCATCTTGAGCAATTTCAGTGGTTTGGTTAGCACTGGGATCCTTTTCCTAGGAGAGCTTGTCATTCTTAGGACCTTCTAGGGTAGACTACATCACTCCCTTTTCCCCTTAGGTGCCTGTGAAAGGTCGAGGCCTTTCCTCTCGTATCCCCCCTCGATTTGCTAAAAAACAGAACAACTTGTGCCTGGAACAGGGCGATGTGGCCGTGCCTGGCAGCAGCCTGGGCACTGAGATCTGGGAGACCAGCAGCCAAGGTGAGAGCATGGAGCCTGCCTCTTCCTCCTGTGCCTTGCTTTTGAGCTGTGAGTGTAGGTGGGGCCTCACTCGCGCTGGGCTCCCTCCTGGGCTCCTCTGCTGAGCCAGTGTTGATGGCCAGCCTAGCACTGCTTGCTTCGGCAGCTCCCAGTTGGGCAAAATTTCACTTGCCTGTGGTGTGGGGAAGAGCAGCGTGTTCCACATTCCCAGCAGCCCGGAGCAGGACATCCCACGAGCTGACCCTCAGGAATGTGGGTTGGGCTTATTTGTCAGGTCTAATCATCCTTCATTCTTCCCTGTGGAGAGGAGCGAGTGAGTCCTCCCCAACAGAATGAAAACCCAGAGAGCACCTCCCAGCGCTCTCATGGAAAGGCAGACTTGAGACCACAGAATGTGTTTCCCTAAAAATGTTTGTATTCCAGTAATTTCCCCCCCCCCCCTTTTTTTTTTTGTATATGGAATTGCACCCAAGGGTGCCATATCACTGAGCTACACTCCCAGCCCTTAATTTTGAGATGGGCTTTTGCTAAGCTGTGATCCTCCTGCCTCAGCCTCACTGGGCACTGGCATTGCAGGCATCCAGCTTATTTTTATGCAAAGGCTTGCAGAGAGAAGCAACTGGACCACAGCCCCCCGACACACACTCAGGATACTAGGTTCTACACTTTGATTCTCTCATTGTCACTACACAATCTGTCCTTAAGTTCCAGGTAAAATCTTGGTGCCAACACATTGAAGAATAACATTAGTTGATGTTCAGGTCTGATTGAAAGCAAGAACTATCTTTTACTAAGCATTGATAGTGTCAAGTTTAGTACCGTGGATGAATGATAGTTATTACAATATCCATGTAATACCCACCGACCAGATTGCCTGGGCAGCCTTCCCTAGGCAAGAGAGCTGCCGCCTCCCATGAGGTCTCTTCTCCAGGGTTCCATAACATCTCATCAGTTGGTTGGACCAGGGGTCCATGGGCGGTTCAGAGGACCCTGGACCTTAGAATAGATTGTCATGTTCTTGTTTATCAGTGTCCGTGGCACTTGATGGGTCCGCAGAAGGGCCTGTGAGCCAGTTATCTGTCTGGAGTGTTTAAAGATTTTATAGACACTACCAAATTTAGAAACATGCCAATGTAGAAGTAGTGCTGGAGAATTCAAACAGGTGTGATTTTGAAAAAACACAGTCAGTGAAACCCCAAGAAGCACATTTGCTAGCCTCAGACGGTACTGGGAGACTGGCATGCAGCTGCTTCTGTGTGTCAGACCAGGCACTGGGTGGGTCTGTCATACTGGGCGCTGGGGTGTAGGTGGGTGTGTCCTACCAGGTGCTGGGGTGGAGTGGATGTGTCACAGTGCTGGGGTACAGGTGGGTGTGTCCTACCAGGCACTATGGTTGGATGGGTATGACACACTGGTCAGCTGGGGTGGGGTGGGTGCCAAAGGCAGTTCCGGGAACTGGATTTCTGTGAACTCTGATTTCGGAGCCACATACCCATGTCTTCCAGACTGTTTGTCCCTCTCTGATACCCTGACTTTGTGTCCCCCTCCTTGTGGCAGCCCTCCCTGTGCAGGCCGCAGCCAGTGACTCCTGGAGGAAAGCCGTCTCTGCCTTCAGCAGCACTGAGCCCAGCTCCACCGAGGTGCGTGTGCCCTGTGCCTGACCCAAGCTCCGCCCTGTCCATGAACTGCGTGAAGTCTCTAGCTTGCTCTTCGGCCTCGGTCTCTGGTCTGTGTGTGGTGCCTGCATGAACATAGAAGAAGGGGTAACCAGCCCATGCCCCCGGGTAGGGATCCAGAGCAAGGGCCTCCTGAGCTGGTCTTGGTGGTCGCCAGTCTGGTTGGACTGAAATGACCTTGGCAGTATCGCCGAGGACCATGCATCATGTGGTGGTCATGAGCTTGGCAGGGCTGGCGCCTTCATGTGGCTGCATGTGTTTCATGGAGCACTGGAGCAGGTCAGGGCCAAGATCAGGACTGGACTTGAGAGGGCAGGTGGCTGGGGAGGTGTGTCAGTGCCACATGCAAGCTTCCCTTCTGGACACTTGTGTTTTGGAGTTTGGGGACAGATTCTAATCCTTGTGTGCTCCATACAGCAGGGTTTTAAGAGCAGCCAGGGAGACAGCGGTGTTGACTTGAGTGCAGAGTCTCGGGAGTCGTCTGCCACCTCCTCGCAACGCAGCTCCCCATATGGTACTCTGAAGCCAGAGGACATGAGCGGTCCTGGCCTGGCAGAATCCAAGGCTGACAGCCACAAGGAGCAGGCTCAGAAGCAATCTGAGCAAAAGGTAACCTGGAAGTCCCCTTCATGGTGGCCAGGTCCTGGGTGAAAGGAGCCGTTGTCATGTCTTCCCTGACACCCGGGCATGGGGAAGGTAAAGATTGTATATCTCAGCCTTTCTGCTCTCCCATCAAGGACTCAGAACAAGGCTCAGGACAGAGCAAGGAGCACAGACCAGGACCCATCGGCAATGAACGTTCTCTGAAAAACAGAAAGGGCTCAGAGGGGACTGAGCGGCTGCAAGGGACAGTCGTCCCACCTGTTAATGGGGTAGAGATTCACGTGGACTCCGTGCTGCCTGTGCCACCCATTGAATTTGGAGTCAGTCCAAAAGTGAGACTTGATTTGACTTTTTTTCCTTGGTATTTGGAAAGTGGGGGCTTAGGGCTGTTCCCTAGAAAGCAGGACGATGGAAGCGGAACAGCACTGCACTGGGAAGAATGCTGGTATGCAGTCAGGGAGCTGAGGCAGGGGCTCTTGACTTGCCACATAGATGGCTTTACTGACACCAACCAGGCCTCCCAGGTCAGCAGTGGACAGGGAGAGGAGTCAGGGTGGCTCCCTTTCTCCAGTGTGTTCATGTATGGTTCATGTATGGTTCTGGTGAATGCTGCTTAGTGGGTGTTTTGAGTCACCAAAACTGGATTGCATTCATGTGTGCCTCTGGAGTAGGGCAAGCCAGAACGAGTTAAGTAGCCATGTGCCATTTTTTTTTTCTAGGACTCTGATTTCAGCTTGCCACCTGGTTCTGCCTCTAGTCCTGCAGGGAATGCAGTGGTCAAACTTCAGGATGCCTTGGCTAGCAATGTAAGTCTCTGCTTCTCTTCCAGCCCCAGTGTTGAGCCACTGTGTAGGCCACAGGCACATGATCACTTGGGCTGGAGTCCACTCTCTTTACAGTGCCTCTGTATTGTGACTTTCCAGTAGGAGCAATGTCATTCCTAAGTTCCAGGTTATCTGGCTTTCTTTAGATTCCCATCTTCCTGTGTGCCAGATGTGTCCAAGACTGGTGCAGACCATCTTTTAGTAGCCATGGGGGAATGGAGGTAAAGCAGGAGTGTCCTCCTGGAGGCCCATCCTCCCCACCTGAGGGTCCCTGAGTCTGTGTGTTTGATGCAGTAGACCTTCTGCCTCTCCAGCCTGCACTTGGGAGCAGGGAGTTGTGGCTCTGTAGACTGTTCCACACTGGCCGTGTGCTGACCTCTCTGTCCACTTGTCCCTCCCTGCAGGGTGGGAGGGTACTCAAACATCTGCTGAACAACTGGGGATTGCTGGGGCAGCATCCCCAGGTTTCATGGGAGATCAGTGCCGCAGAACGTTGACAGACATTGAACAAAAAAAATTCTGTGGTTACATGGGTTTGAACTGCTAAGCTAACCGGATTTTAATACTTTGAGCTTTCCCAAATTGCTATGATATGGGACACTGGGCTCTACCGGAGGCTTTAGCCTATATTAACAGGGACATGCTTCTCCATTTCCTGAAGGGCTCTGTGACAGGCACAGCCTTTCCCTGTCCTGACTTAGGCATCTCCCGTCCAGGTGGCACGTATACTTGCCTACTGGTAGCCAGTCCATTTTTTCTCTTGCTGGGATACAGCTATCTTATGTCAAGGGCTCCGTGGAACATGGGTGTGGAGGGGACTCTCTACAGATTGTTTTTGAGGAAATGACGTCTCAGGGAGATAGGCCGGGGTCTCAGGCACATGTGGCCAAACCTGAAGACTACTGGCTACCTCGCTTCCTCAGCTCCTTGTTCCATGGTCTCCTTTCTTCCCATCTCCAGGCAGGGTTGACACAGAGCATTCCCATCCTCCGGCGAGATCATCATATCCAGAGGGCCATTGGCCTCTCCCCAATGTCCTTCCCCACTGCTGATCTCACACTAAAGGTAACACCATCCCTGCACTGGGAGGAGGGAGGAGCCCCTTGCACCCTGTGGCTTAGATTGCCATTGTCCCCTGCTGTCCCTGGTAGTAATTTGCGCCCCTTCCCTCCCCTTGCTTTCAAAGATGGAGTCTGCACGGAAGGCTTGGGAAAACTCCCCCAGTTTGCCAGAGCAGAGCTCTCCAGGGGGTGCTAGCTCGGGCATCCAGCCTCCGTCCTCGGTGGGCGCCTCCAGCGGGGTCAACTACAGCTCCTTTGGTGGAGTATCCATGCCACCCATGCCTGTGGCCTCTGTAGCCCCTTCTGCTTCGATGCCAGGTATTATGTCCCCTGAGCCAGGCTCAGAAGCCTTCTCCATTCATGATTAAGCAAAGCGCTGGATGAATAGCCCCGAGCACATCCCTGTCCAGTGCCTGCTGTGCCACCTCTGCCAGGGAGCAGCAGAGCAGCGCACCTCCCTGGGCCACAGCTTGTCCCTCTGTAGAGTGGGCTGGTGATGACGCTCCAGAGAGTAGCCATGCCCATGAAGCAAGGGTGTTTCTGGAAGGTGCTTGGTACCAGCTGAGCCCTCCATTGGTGGTAGCTGTTTTTATCTTTACTATCGCCATCCTTGTCACTGTGTTGTGGCCCCAAGGGAGAACAGTGGGGATTTTGAGGAACCAGCTGCCAAAGTCTCAGTGATGTAATTCCAATAGATCCTTCTGACCCTCCACTGTGGACTCGATAGCAGGAGGATGAAGAGGACAGTGACTGAGAGACCAGGGCAGCTGTATTCAACAGCCCTCCCAAGGGTCTGCAGCAGTTGGTGGGTGATGGTTGTAAAAGGTGGGCCACAGCCCACTGCCCTGCTCAGGTCCTGCTGCTGAGCCCCCAGGTGTGTGCTGCAGCACAGAAGGGAGCAGCCTCCACCTGCTCACACCCTCACTCCCAGAGTCTGCTGGGAAGCGGGACATGTGCAGTATCTCCCTAAAGGATACTCAGCAACAGGAGACTTGATCATTCTCTCCTCCCCTGGATTCTGTTTCCAGGCAACCACCTCCCGCCTCTGTACTTGGACGGTCATGTGTTTGCAAGTCAGCCCCGGCTGGTTCCTCAAACCATACCTCAGCAGCAGAGTTACCAGCAGGTGAGGATGGCAGGACAGGCGGCTGGACAGGGAGGTGCAGCACCGGCACAGCCACTGCTGCATTCACTTCCTCATTGTCCCGTTTCCTGTGTCCCCTGTGTGATGCCTAGCACCTGGCACGTCATGACACCTAGAGAATTTGTTGGATGAGGAGGACCAAGTAAATGCTCCAGCCTTGCTTGACGTTCCTTCCCGCAGTCTTCCTCCCTTAGTCCTAGCTGGGAATTAGCTAAGGGCAGGGCCTAGGTCCCCAGCCATGGAGATATTGGAGGAGGTAGTTTTGGAACAGGCAGATATTTGGTTTTGTGCAGGATTGATATATTTTCTGTGCTGTAAGGGAGTGATTTTGGAGTCTCCCTCTGAAAGCTGGTGCTGGGCCTTCAGATAGCCCCAGCCCATGTGCCTGCATCCCCTCTCCCACTTCCACATGGCTGTGGATGTTCCCAGTGCAGATTCAGGGTCAGGACAGAGGATGTGGCTAGTCTTCAACTCTTCCTTGAAACGTATCCCTAGTTCTCTAGTGAAGTGTGGGTTGGTCTTTCCATAACTGGATCACACTGCATGTGTCCTTCTCTTGCCCGGCCTTGTTTCTGCAGCTGTCCTCCATGAGTACACATAGCTAGGGTTTCTTTCTGTTGCTGTTACAAACTGCCAGTGCAGAGGTAGACCATGGCTTGCCTTCACTACCAGGTTTTTGCTTTTGGTTTTTCCCTAGGAGCAGGGGAGGCAGGCAGGGTGTTTAGGGCAGGTGCATTTAGGGCAGAGTGGAGGGGCCAGGGTGTGAGCAGGGGTGCCACTTTGGAGGGCATTGGTGGTTACTACCTGGCTCCTGTTCACAGGCTGCCGCTGCCCAGCAAATCCCCATCTCTCTGCACACGTCTCTGCAGGCTCAGGCTCAGCTTGGACTGCGGGGCGGGCTTCCCGTCTCCCAGTCTCAGGAGATCTTCAGTTCTTTGCAGCCCTTCAGGTGAGCTCACATGTAGACTACTCCTAGCCTGGGCTTCAGACTGTCCCATTCCTTTGCTCTGTGACTATAGGTGTCCTCTGCTTTGGGCTTGGGAGGCAGAGGGGATGCTCTTGGTCCCTTTGCAGGCCAGCGCTGTGCTCTAGGGGGCTGTGGGCCTCGTGTTCCCTTTCCTTCTCATCCTGCCTCCTGCTTCCTCACTAAGCCTGTTACCTTGTGTTTTGGGTGTTATTAGGTGTTTCTGGCCTGGCACAGCCTTGACGTGTCTGTCTGTGTAACCCAGTGATGCTCACAGTGGCCCCTAGACCATTAGCATCAGGCCCACCTGGACCTGAATTGCTGGAGGAGCAGGATCTGTGCTTCAGTGGGTGCTGGGGATGCTGAGGCTTGCCTATGTTGGTGACCCCCTGGTGTGCTCATCCACTGATCCTGGCATCTTCTGGCTTTTGCAGGTCTCAGGTGTACATGCACCCCAGCCTGTCACCACCCAGCACCATGATCCTCTCTGGGGGCACGGCCTTGAAGGCTCCATACTCAGCATTCCCAGGCATGCAGCCTTTAGAGATGGTGAAGCCCCAGTCCGGCTCACCCTACCAGCCCCTGAATGGAAACCAGGCCCTGGTCTACGAGGGCCAGCTTGGCCAGGCTGCTGGACTGGGCGCCTCCCAGATGTTGGACTCCCAGCTGCCACAGGTCAGTTCACTCGCTCCCTGGCATCTTCTGGCTTTTGCAGACTTTCCCAGGCACTAGGCCTCCTTCTTTTACGACCTTCCCCTACCCTCCTAACTGCCTCTGTGTGTGCTGACTTGTGACAGTCCTCAGCGGCTAGAACGTGGCCTCTTCTGAGCGGTCCCATTGCCATTTTATTCTGAGACCCAGCTATCCTGAGAGCACTGCTTCCTCTCCCCATCCCCGTGCTCTGACGTGGAAGTTGGGATGCAGCCTCTTTGCCCCTACCTGCTCCTTGAAGCCCCACCCTAGAATGTGCCCTACTCAACCTCCACGCACGCGAGCTTCCCATTACCAAATCCCATGCGGGAGTGGAGGTCTTCTCCCCTGACCTCTGGGCAGTGCCCGGCACCTTGGAGGGCCGCTCCCTTCCTGTGGCCTTGGCTTTGCAGTCTATCCTGTCCACTGCGGCATCTGCTTGTCCATACTCGCATCCAGACTTGGGCATTACCGTAGCTGTGTGTCTTCCCTGACCTCAAGTGCAAGGCTCCGGTGCAGCTATCACTGCTGACCTTTCTGCCTCTGTCCTTCCAGTGATCCAGCTGCAAGTCCTTCACCTCCCTCCCTCCTCTTCACTTCCTCCCTCCTGGCAGGCCCTCGGAGCCACTCGGCACTCTGCACTCGAGCTGTCTCCCGGGGGCCACCACGCTGCTAGCAGCCATTTCAGATTCACTATTTTTTCCTTGTTGCTTCCTACCCACTGTGGCCTTGCTTTCTGTGTCACCAAGGAAACAGGACAATGACAGCCCATGGCCACATCTCCCTGCCTATATGCCACTGGAACGTAAGAGAGGCCTCACTCTCCCACTCAGGGCCACTCTTACAAGTCCCCTGAACCTTGTGCATTCTGGAGCTCTGTCACTGAGCTCCATCCCCAGTCCCTGGTCATCCCATCACGGCATTTTACCCAGTGGTCACACTGTCCCTCAAATCACATTCTGCAGTCAGGCCTCAGGGTGCCTGGTTTTCCTTCTGCCTCCTCAAACCCTTTCTTGCCTCTCCTTTGCTCACACCACCCAAGTCTGTAACACTGGGCATGCCCATGGGCCCTGTCTCTGGGCCACTTTCTGGTCCCATGGCTCTAAGTCCATGTGCTGGTCACTTTATCATTCATTTCTTTGCCCCAGAGTCACCCACGGACTGGAATTTCATATGCAGTGCCTGGCCAGCACCTCTGCTTTCATGTCTCTGCCATGTCCCACTTACTGTGGCCAGACAGGAACTTCCTCCCGGTCCTGCTGCTGGTCCACTTTCCACCATACTTGTTCCTACCACCCCTGCTGACCGCTGTGATCCAGCAGGTCCTGATGGCTCTGTCTTTAGGAAGAATTCAGTTTCCACCTGTTCATTAACCCCACCCATAGGCTCTGCGGGAGCTCTTCTTGCACTGCCAGCTTCTGCCCTCTAGGTCTTCCGGCCAGGTGTTCATGCAGCAGCAGGACAGTCCTTCAAGTACACAGTCAGATCGCACGACACCAAGGCAGTGTCCTGAAGCTGTCCAATTGTCCTCGCCTGTTGTGCTCCAAGCGGGAGCTTGGCACTTTGAGGCTATGGCGCCACAAGCCTCAGTGATGTAATTCCAATAGATCCTTCTGACCCTCCACTGTGGACTCAACAGCAGGGAGATGAAGAGAACAGTGACTGAGAGGCAAAATGTGGGCCACCCCGTCCTCCTGCCCTGGGAGTTTCCAGGCCACCCCTCTAGGTCTTGTTTTCTACCAGCATTGATGCAAGACAGGTGCCACACAGAGAAAGCTGCACTTCTTGGGCAGCCCTCACCTCCGGGGCATGCTTGGCCTTGCTCCCTAAGCAGCCTTCCCGATGTCCCCACTCATCTTCTTCCCACCCCTCTCTGGTACATGTGCACACACACAGCTGGTACATGCACATAGGTCCTGCTGCCTCCGCTGTGTGCTCAGCCGCTGGCAGCCATGTCCAATGAACCTCTACACTGTCCTGTCCTGCCCCTGCCATGTTTGAGGGTGCCCTGTGGCTCCCCCACACCTTATATTGAGTGAGAACTGAAGGTACGCATAGCCCTTTGCTCAGGAACAGAGGAGACACACAAGCATCATTGATAAGTACAGTCTGCACACGTGCTTACCCTCTGTTCCTTTTTGTGACCTGTTGCCCAACAGCTGACCATGCCACTGCCTCGGTATGGCTCCGGGCAGCAACCACTCATCCTGCCACAGTCCATCCAGCTGCCACCAGGGCAGAGCCTCTCTGTCGGGGCCCCCCGAAGGATTCCTCCACCTGGGTCCCAGCCACCAGTCTTGAACACCAGCAGAGAGGTAAAGGTGTACCCCCTCCACCTGTGATCCCAGGGAAAGGGATTTGGTTAGCCCTTCCCAGTTAGCTGAGGGCCACTGAGGTGGGAAGTGCTAGAGGATTGGGGTGCAGGCTCTGGGTCTCTGGGTCTCCCTAGACAAGTTTTCCTGTGCCTTGAAGTGTTTGAATTCTAAACATCAGGAACTCCTTCGTTTATGTGTAAGCCACTAATAAAAAGAAGGAACATTCACGCGACCAATGAATGCCCCAGTTGAATGCCTGAGGACCCTCCAGTGGAGCCACAGCAGATACAAGTCCTGGAGATTCTGACTGAGTGTGTCCAGGGTCAAGGGTTAGGAGTCTCTGTTCCTCACTGCCCGTCCTGCTCTGGCTCTGCTGGGATGATACCTGAGTGATGCTCCTGGCATGGATGGCTGGTTTCCTCAGGTTGTGCACAAGTAGCTCTCCTGAGCCTCTTTTAAAAGACGTTGAAATGTCCCTCCTCCTGAGAAGAAGCCCTCTTTGGGCCTGGATTAGAATGGAGGGGCTGCAGATTCCCTACAGGGCACTGCTGGAAATCTCATGACCCTCGCTAGCTCCGCCCAGGGGGTTCACCAAGGGCCAGGCTGTCTCTGTGGTCATCAAATGACAGCTTGTTGCTTCTTGGCCTCTCTAGTCCTCTCAGATGGAGCTGAAAGGCTTCCACTTTGCCGACAGTAAACAGAATGTTCCCACAGGAGGCTCCGTATCGTCACCACAGACCTACAGGTAAAGACATGCCCTGGGGGTTGGGGACTGAGTAGCTGAGGAAGCTGTAGACCTGACTCAGTGGCTCTAAAGAGGCTGTGAGCCCAGGGAGAGCAGTGTAAGAGCACTGAGGCCTGGTCCTCCAAGTCCCCAGGACGTACTTGTTAACCATGGGGAATGGGGAGACTGCATTTTAGTCATCAGAATGAGGATCTGGACTGGGTGTTTTCTGGAAGGCTAGGAAAGGAACAGCCCTTCCCAGGGCCTCTCCCAACTGCATTCGCCCTCTTCCCCTGCCACATGACACTTGATTGTGGGGTCGCGCGGCCCTCCCCTGCAGTCTACAAACTGGTGCCTGCTTTTCGCCTCCTCGGCATCTGTCTCTGCCTCCATTGATTGTCCCAGTCCCCTCAATTTGGAGGCTGCTCTGTCGGATCATGGCTAAGCACCTCTCGCCCATGTGGGGTTGGGAAGGCAGCTCTGGCCTTGGGCCACACAGACGTGTATGGCCAACTCTTGTTCCATGAGGGGTTTCCTGGAGCTCCCTTGTATTCGCAGAGTGGGACAGACACACATGACCTGCAGCATTCTGCTCTAGCACCAGGAGGTCACCCCACCAACATGTGCTCTGCGGGGCGGGTCCCACGGCTTGGACCTTCTCTTGCGGTCATTCTGGCCGGTGCTCCGGTGTGTCAGGCTGGGCTTCCTCCGTCTCATCGATCCACACTTCCAACCTCATTTCCAAAGAGATTTCATGATTTTTTTCCTCATTCATCTTCGTTTCTGTTCCTCCCGCTGTCTTGGCTTCGTGTTTGTGTGTCGGTATGTCTTGTTTTCCTACCATCACCTGTCACGTAGGCCAACACAGAACAGAAGCATGACCTGGAGGGGAGGAAGGAAGCCTCAAGTGGGCACACAGGCTGTAGGCCCCCCACTGCCACATGCACGCAAGCAGCATCTGGCTGCAGAGCAGTCCCCAAGGAGCACAGAGCAGGGCAGAAGCTGGAGTGACAGGCAACCTGTGCACACGGTTATGGGAAGGGCAGCATCTTGCGCGGGAGGGTTGGTTCAGTGGGCGCTCTGTGTCCACAGACAGGGCAGTGGTTGGAGTACTTTTAAGTAATCTACAGGTGACAAAGTATACAGGAGGGAGCTGGGTTGTGGCTCACTGTATAATGCCCTGGGTTCAGTCACCAGCACCAAAAAAAGTCTGTGGGCAGATGTGCATGTGTTATATGTACACACACTGCTGCATGTGAGGGACTTGCCATCTGCAATTTTGGTATTTGCAGGGGTCACTGAGGGTCGGGGAGTTATTATAATTTTATAGAGCCATGGTCCCCAAAGTCTTCTGGAAATGGCACTGCTGAGACATGCCCTTCAGAAGAGGGACTGTGGTCAGCACCTGGCTGTCTGGACCAGAGGTGGAGTCCAGGGCACAGAGCCTCAGCAGCCCCACCTCATCCTGTTGACCTGTGCTGTGCACCTGTTAAGCCCTTTGACCACAGAACCTCATTAACATCCCTGGCACTGGTGGTCAGTGGAATACTGTACATTACTGTGCCTCTCATCCCCAACAAAATGAGGACTAGAAAAAACTCAGCACAATTCTGGTTGGATTAGGTTTATAGACCTTTTTTTGTCTGGGACACTGCATCATGTTGGCCCAGACCCTCCAAACTCTACAAGATGGTCAGTGTCCATCTGTCTGTAGCAGCAGCTTGGGCCCCACCTCTCCTCTCCTGGGTACATCTCCTGAAGTGCCAGGGTGGACAGTGACAACCACCCCTTCCCCTTTCTGCATTCTTGGCTGTCTCCAGTCTGGTTTCCATCTGAGAGGGCTCCAGCTGCCCGAGTGCGTGCTCTGGCCAGAGGGCCCTTCCTTGCTCGTTCCTCTCCCTGGGCTAGGCTTGGACTCATTTCTGTGGTGACACGTGTGTATTCTCACCCCTGCCTTTGGTTTTTTCAGGCCTAGCTCTGCTAGCCCCAGTGGGAAGCCCTCTGGATCAGCAGTTAACATGGGCTCTGTGCAGGGACACTACGTTCAACAGGTAGAAGATGGCTTTCCAGACCCTGCAGCTGGACACTTAGGCCTGTCTCCCAGCGCCAGAGGAGAGGGGACTGTTCAACCCATGAGTGCTCCTTTTATGAGGAGAACATGCCCTCACGGTTAGAGCTGGGCAGCCTAGCTGGCGAAGGCATTTCTCCTCCTGAGGGCATCTGGATCCTTCCTTTCCTGCAGAGAAGGGAGGATTCCTGGTTCCTCAGAGGAGGAGACACCTGATGGTGGACTTCCCTAGCACTCGGGGCTATGACGGCGCTGGGGAGAGCCGGCCAGGTCTGCGGGTTAGCGCTAGAAGCCGGGTGTGCGCATGCTAGCTCTAGCAGTGGCGTCTCGCTGGTCTTGCTGGGTGGGCTCGCAGACAGGTCGCACTCTATTCTAATGAGGCTCTTTCAGCGTCTTCCTACAGGCCCTCTTCTTTCCCTCCTCTGAAGTGTCTCGGGCTCCAGAGCTCGGGACCTCGGTCCTGGGTTTTAGTAAGTCAGCATTTCTGGCTGGTGGGAGTCGGAGGACAAAGCTGTCATTTTCCACCTCCTTCAGGCTCCCCTGGGGGTCACTGCTTGAATCCTGTGGACCGAGCTTCTAAAGCCTTCTCCCAGAGTTCAGACCACTGGGTGATTGCTGCGGGACACCCTCTGCTGTGCGCAGCTGCAGACTAGTGGAGCCTGAATGGGAATCTCAGGGTCCAGCTGAGTCCCGGGGGAAGGTCTGAGTGAATCACAAAGATCTGGGAGAACCAAGTCCCCCGAGGAGTGCTGGGGGCCCCAAGGCCTGTGGGGCATGGGGTGCACTATTTGAAAAAGTTTTCTCGGTCAGACTTGGACCAGAATGCGCCACCCTGAGATGTACCCTCACCAAGTTCTTTGTGGAGGACCCTGTGTCTTCTGCCTCTCCCAGTCTCTGCACTCAGTGCCCATGGGGTGGGAGGAAGGCAGTCACGTGCTGGGATCCTTCCTAGGAGAGTGACTTCTATGTCTGGCCCTTCAGCAAGGGATGGACAACTCAGGGGGCTTTTCTTTGTGTCTCAAGAGCAGGAATAGAGGGAGCTGTCTAGTAGGTGCTTCTGCAATGTGGTCACTTTCTTTTTCACATTCATGTGTCCAAAGGCAAAACGAGTGGATGAGAAGCCCAGCCTGGGAGCCGTGAAGCTGCAGGAGGCCCCCTCAGCCGCCCCCCAGATGAAGAGAACCGGAGCAATCAAGCCTCGGGCAGTCAAAGTGGAGGAGAGTAAAGCCTGAAGGTGCCTGGCCACAGCCTCACCTCACCCTGACGGGGACAGTGCCACCATCCAGCCTGGGCCACCACCACTCGGAACCTCACCGGACCCACCGTCCGAGCACCTGGCCCAGACTGAGAGCTCTGCTCCTGCCCACTCCTCCCACTCCTCCCACTCCTGGAAGCTCATGCAGCCAGCTCGCACTGTGGACGTGTGGCGCCGACCTGCTTGCTTTGACATAAAAGAGCAAAGGCTCCCTCCCTCCTGCCCCTCCTCCCCACTGTGGAGTGAGTCACCTCTGTGCAGTGCAGACCCGCCTGTCCAGTCCCCAGGCAATGGCTGGCGGCTGGGTCTTTCTAGCCAGAGGCTTTTTGTTTTAAAAAGCAGCTAAGGTTTTTACAAAGGGGAAAGGAAAACAAAACGCCAGCTACGTCTGTATAGCTGAACTTTTATACGGTCCTCACTGTCCTCTCTGCCCCTCTGCTGTCCCCAGTGGTCTCCTCTTACCTCTGTCCTGTTTGATGCGTCGCTGCGATACCTTAAGAGATGCCTCTTAAGAATGTGCCCCATGGTCAGCCTTCGGGGTCACTGAGGTACCATTGTTGAGTGCTCCAGTGTCAGCTCCCGCTTTGGCGGTGAGGTGAGTGGGGCAGCAGGTAGGTCAGCATCTCCACTGGGCCCAGCCCCAGGCCGGGAGTCGATGACGTTCTAGCTTAAGAATTACATGGCATTTCTGTCTTGGGCTCTTATGAAGCCAGTGGACACAATGACTATTGGGCACCAGAGGTGAACCTTGGTCATCAATGTCGTTGTCCAGATCGGCTGGGATGGCGTGAGCCGATGCTCCGTGGGTCCTGTCTGTGCTGTGCTTCCCAGGCCCCATACCCCCTTGGGCTCTGCTTCCACTCACCATCCCATCCCCCGCCTTCTACAACCTGTCACTTCCCTTTCTCCTTTTGCAGAGCCTGCTGCGCTCTCTGGATCCCAGTCCCTCCACCCACATACAGCGCAAACAGCTCGTCATTAAAGCCACAGGCACATAAGACAGCTGCCCCTTGGGGTCTGCAAAGGCGTGTTTCCTAGATGAGGCTATAAGGATTTTTCCTCTCCCTGTGCTTCAGTCCAGCAGCAGATCCCTGTTGTTAGCATGCAGGAGCCCAAGCTAAGCAGCAGGTGTCAGCGTCACTCATTCTACAGCCTGCCAGCCAGGCAGGGTCAAGGTGAAGGTGGGCTATGGGGCTGGCCATGGTTCTGAAGCAGCCAGGGCAGCCTACCCAAAAGGACAGCATCTTCTGTCTGGAGAGCTGCCCCTCACCAAAGATGTGGGCCCCTGCAATGCTGGGCTTTCTGCTTTCCAATCAGCCCAGACTCCATCATTCCCAGGAAGGTAAAGGGGGTAATTTCAGTTTCTCAAATGCTATGCAGGGTCCCTAACCAGCCATCCACCCGCAGGAGCCACTGCCTGTCCCAGAGTGTGCCACATGTGCAGCTGGCCCTTGGTGTCCCTGTGGGCGACAGCTGCGGGAGCTGGAGGTACTGCGCTATCTCCAGCAGAGCCTGGCCCCTGCTGTTGTAATTGGGTTCAGCCTTCCCCTGCCAGCAGCGCTCACTGCAAATCATCCTTGGTGGCATCTGGGGAGAGCAGTCACTGCTTCACCTCAAGCCCTTGGCACCTCCCCCCCTTGCCTCCACCCCCAGACCTTACTGGCTGGGCTTGTCTTCATCTTTACTCTTCTGTCCCTTCTCTAACGGCTGCCTGCCTGGAGTCTGCAGCCCTGGCCTGCCCTGTCCTTCATCTGCTCCCAACCCCCCACGTCTCTGGTCACTGTTCCTGTGATGAGTCTTCTGCCCCTGCCCACTGCCTCCACTGCCAAGCCGCCCCTTGATGAGTCTGGGCCAGCCAGAGCACACGCAACCACCTCTGCCTGTCCACCTTACAAATGCCAGACACGCTCACCTAATGCCAATGTGCATTATGTGTCAAAAGGAACAAAAAATTTCTCATTTCAAAATTCAACAGAACAGTCGTGGATGCTGTTAAAAATGCAAGATGTCCCTTCAGGAGAACCTGCCACAGAATGACAGTACTTCCTGTTTGAGGAAAAGTAGGTCACCCATTCTCAACCTTCTCTCACCCTGTCTCCCTCCTTCCCTGCCTCCCACCCCAAATAAAGACAAGAGACACTAGAATTTATTTATATGTATTGATGTTGTAGGTCTAGGTGAAAAGAAGTAAAATGTTCCACTGCTCTATTTATATATAATGTCTGAATTATTCTGTGCAGGAAAGGCCAGGAAATTGCATGTGAAGTTTGGTGCGTTTGCCACCTCTGTGACCTCAGCTGTGGGCTCTTCCCCCAAGTGCAGATCTTCAATTCAACTCGGGCAGAGGGCAGGCCTCGGCCTCCCCACCTCCCAGCCCCTCTGTGTTCTGATTAAATGCAGTTTTTAGTGCAGCTTTTTAAGGTGCAATATCTTTCTTCCTTTCACGTGGTTTTAGGGCCAATCTCAAGGTAATAGGACTTGGCATCTTATTTTGGTTTCAAACCCCCATTCTCAGATACATACAGAAGTTTCTGCCAGGACATCCTGGCCTTCAGTGGGAACAGGAGAAGGCCAGCACTCCTTTGCTACTGTTGAATTGGCCAAGGGGCAGTGTAAGATCCTCTCACCAGTCAACTCCTGATGCTGGCAGTTTTGGCCAGACCATTGATGGTACAGCCTGTCGCTCGACCTCCAGGGACTTTGTAGTATTGGTTCTCTGCTGACCACTCAGTGAAGTGAAATTCAAGGGTAGGGTGTCTGAAATGCAGTGTCCACCCACTGAGGGCTGGTTTCTTAACTGTTAGCTTCCCGTACATAGTTCACACTGTTTTCAAACTTGGAGTTCACAGAACACTCTGGCTCTAGTTTTCTTAAGGGAGAATAAAGGAAGACTTTATTTCACATTCAGAAAAGGTTGAGTCCAGAGCTCTGGTCATTCCAGCTGCTTCTAGTGATATCTGGGTGACATGTTAAATACTGACGTTCCCTCCAGTCTTCTGATCTGCCTTCCACAGTCAGGGAGGAAGTTTGACACACTCAGCGACCAGGAGGCAGGCATCTGCTCTGGTGCAGTGTCAGCAGCTCTGACAAAGGCCCTCCCCTGAGGACTGCTGGGCCGCCCTCTGCCAAGTGGCTGCCTTTGCCTCAAATCTTTTTTGTCCCTTCTCACTTGCAGGGCAAACCTGGGTTACAGGGTCTGTTGGAAATGACCTCGCCGTGTTCTGTGATGAATGGGAAACGCAGACTTCCAAAAACCCAGCCCTCTGAATGTGAGCTGGACCTGAACAAGAAGGCCATCTGGGCAGGAGTGGCTGGGTGTTGGAGACAGACGCTGTTACACAGCCATGCTCCTCACCCAGCCACCCGCACAGCTGGCTAGTGACTTAGGGCATGAGACCTGCCTTTCACCCTTTCTCCGCCCATTTGGTAGCCTCCAAGATGGCAGCAGCATTCTTAGGACCCTGTGTAAAAGCTCTGTGCAGGCGACCTTCTTCCACTGTTTAAAGGGGATCCTGTACTTTGGACCTCATGCCTTGGGTAGTAAAAAGGATCTGGGGGTTTGCTGCTTTGCTTTTGAGAGGGTTATGTTTTGGTTTTGTTTCCTTTTGCTTTATTTTGGCCTTCCTCTCTCGTCTTTTCGTGTAGACCAGATATTTGAAAGGGCAGACGATGGCTCACGGGTCTGTGCAGCTTGTTTATATGTGATGTGGGGAAACCATTACTCGGATGGGAAATGGCATCGTGGACTCACCCGGCCGTGCTGGACGCTCACCCTCCCTCCCCTCCAGTTCAGTACCTGTTGTTTCTCCTTTCAAATATGTGATTGTACTAGCTCTTTCCGTATGAAAGACTCTCCTTATTTAAATAAAAAAAGGAAAAAAATAAAGCTGGACATGCTTTCTCAGGTTGTGTGTCCCTTGTTTTTCACTCTGACTGGAGGCCTCTGCAGATAGAAGCTGCTTGTCTTACAGCTCACTCCGACACCAGGAGCGCTGAGATGCCTGAGCACCGCCAGCAGAGAGGACCAACACAGCACGCTGCCCCGGGCAGCACCTGGCCGCCCCCACCACTTCCCAGGAGGGCACCCCCCTGTGCACACCTCCTCTGCCAGCCTCCCCCAACTGATGAGGGGCAGCATGTGGCTGCCACTCCGCAGACCTTTTGCAGAAAAGTCGTCAAGGACTAGGCTCGTTTGGGGTGGGGAAAAAGCAAGCCTGGTCCGGGGCAATGAAGGGTCAAAAGCAGATTGGGGCTCAGGCAGTGCTGCTCAATTCTGCCATCACCTGTCTGTGTGGCCTTGGGAAACACACCCAGCGTCACCTTCCTTACCCTGAAGCGCGGGTCCTGCTGGGTGAGGTGGTGGTGCCCACCTGCATTCCCACCGCTCGAGGATCAAAGGCGAACGGCCAGGGCTGGGCCCTGGCTGGGGGTGAGAGCGCCGCCTGGCACGTGGGAGGCACGGGCTCCACCCTCACAGTAAACTCATAAAGGAAGGCGTTATGTCCACCTACAACTAAAGACCAAACCAAAGGCCAGTCTGGGCAACCTAGAGCCAGATTGGGGGGCCTGGGGATGTAGTTCAGGGTGCGGAGCCCCTGGTCACCCAGTACGAGGAGCACCAGCGCATTTTAAACGGGCTGTAACGTACCTACCTCAGAGGGCAGTGCGGGGCCACTGGGCGGGCCCACGGCCAGGTAAGAGAACGACTGCCCTCCAGCAGCAGGGACCGCTTCCCTCGGGGCTCCCCCAAGTCCGCGCGAGGGCCAGGGGCACCGCTGCGGGCCGCGCCCTCCGCAGGACCCCGGGCGGCCGACCTCGGGGGCACTCCAGGGTGAAGCGGCCCCCGGAGCCAGGAAGCAGCAGCACCCTGGCGAGCGGACCGCGTGGGGGCTCGGGCGGGTGCAGAGGGCCGCGGAGCCCGGGAGCGCGCAGGCCTGCAGCCGCGGCGGGACAGGTCCGGGGCCGCGCCGCCCGGCTCGGAGCACTGCCCGCGGCAGCCAGCGACCGCCCGCTCCCTTTAAGAAGACCAGGCGCCAGGCAAAGTGGGCCCGCCTGTAACCCCAGCGGCTGGGGAGGCTGAGGCAGGAGGATCTCGAGTCCAAGGCCAGCCTCGGCAGCAGGTTCAACCCCTAGTACCGAAGGAAAAAAAAAAGACACGCGTGCGCAGACACTCCACAGGGATCCTGGAACGCCCGAGCGGGGAGCAGCACACCGGGGAGTTCCCAGCGTGCACTCCGGTGGGACCCGGGCCCGCACCTCGCCGACTGCGCACGCGCGCCGTTGCCCTGCCCAGTGCGCGCGCCCGCGCGCGCGCTGCGGCTCGACCCTGCAGGCTCGGCGAATCGAGTGCCGAACGGTGTATCGCGCGGGGTCCCCAGAGCGTTGGTCCCCAACGGTCGGCCTCCTAGGAGGTTCCGAGGCGTGACCCGGCGCCGGGAGCGCTCTGCCGGGCTCCGAGAAACCCGAGTACGTTTGGGGACGCGAGCCCAGCCGGAACTCGGAGTCCGTCAGTGCGGGGCACTCCGGGCCGGGGCGTCGGGGTCCTGGCGGCGCAGGGGCCGCGCAGCCTCGCGGGTCAGGAGCGCTGGGCCGCGGAGCTGGGAGGAGGCGGCTGCGGAGGCGGCCTGGGGAGAAAGGGGCTCGCAGGGCAGGGAGGGCAGGCCACCGGGTGCATGCAGCTGGCACCGGAGCTGCCAGTCAGGGGAGGGGCGAGGGCCACCCCAGGCCACGTCCTTGAAGTGGCCCCGCCCCCAGCAGGTGCCTGTGAAGCGGGTTGTTGAAGTGAAATTCCTGAGCGCCCGCCAGGTGTGCCGCCCTTCTGCATCCCAGCGGGTGCCCGCGGCCTCCCTGCTCGACCCCGCCGCTCGCGGTTCCTCCTGGTGCCCCAGGAAGCCAGTCTCCAGCCCTTCGCCCTTCGGCTGGCCTCCCGCTGGTTGATGGCGGCTCGTCCCTTCTTTGCCCAGGTGTCCTCCAAGCCTGCTCTCCTGCACCATGTTGGGAGTTCTGAAGCGCCCGATAGTGGTGACGGCTGACGTCAACCTGAATGTGGTGGCTCTGGCTGGAGTGGGACTTCTGAGCCGACTGTGGCAGCTCTCCTACCCGCGCGCTGTGGTGTAAGCAGACAACTGCATGGGAGGGGTGTCAGGAAGAACTGTCATGTACACATGCTGGGGAAGATCTGCCACTTGGCTACACCCCCAGCCCCCGTTAAATGGTTGCAGTAGAGGGAAATGTGCTACCAGCCATAGATTTTCCGTTTTAAAATCGGAGGGTAGAGGATTGATGGATTTGGAAGTGAGTCTTCCTTGTTTAGGGTTCTTAGAGCCTGGCTTTGATCATAATGGGAAGTGGTTGCTTTTGTTATTGAAGGGCTGCTTATTAACACACATGTTCTTTTTTAACTTTTTATTATGGAGAACATCAAATATATACAAAGTAGGGAGAACAGTATAATGGTCTCCACCAATATGTTCATTACCCAGCTTCAGCTGTCATCAGCTCATAGGCAGCCCCCGCTCTGCAGTGGATTAGTTTGAATTGAACCCTAGATGTGTTTCATAAATAATTCAGTATATATCTTTAAAACGTGAAGATTCTGGGCTGGGGTTGTGGCTCAGCAGTAGAGCGCTATCCTAGCACGTGTGAGGCCCTGGGTTCAATCCTCAGCACCACATAAAAAATAAATAAATAAAATAAATGTATTGTGTCCAACTACAACTAAAAAATAAAATATTTTTAAAAAATAAAAAATGAACATTCTTTTGGGGGAAGGGATAGAAGATGAAAATTCTTAAAAAGTCATGTAACTATGATCATAAGAAATTGATAGCATTTCCTTGGTATCATCAGCTTTCCCCCAATTGTATGACAAAATTGTATTGCAGTTGGTTCCCGGATGTCTTCCTTTCACTCCGGCAGCTGTTTTGTTGAGTCATCAGGTCTGATTCCAAGTCACAGTCTTAGCAGGTGCTGGCACCAGGAAGAGCTGGAGTGGGATTCCCCTCAGGCCTATGAGGTCTTTCAGTAGGTTGGCCAGCAGTATGCACCTGTGTCGGAAACAGGAGCTAGGATCTGTCTGAGTGCCATCTTATGTTGGTGAATTTTTCCACCCACTTCCCTGTGGATGGATGATGTTGTATATGGCTTAGTATTTGGGGACGGGGTACAGTTGGAGCAGCAGATCTGACTGACACTGCTGATGACTTACCTAGAGTCATTTGGAAGCACGCAGGCATTCATCCACCCTCTTCTTGATTACAATTCAGATTTCTAGTTGAATGCAATGTTTTGTTTGTTTTCAGTTTTGATGAAGTGTATTATGGGCAATACATCTCTTTTTACATGAAACGGATCTTCTTTTTGGATGACAGTGGACCACCATTTGGCCACATGCTGCTGGCCTTGGGAGGTAAGATTCTTTAGTAGCCATTGCCTTTTGGGCCCTCAGTGAAACTTATCAGTGAAATTTCTTGAGGGCAGAAACTGTCTTTTGTTTGTTTATCTTGTTTCCTTATTGCCTGCCACAGTACTCCAGGAAATTAATTTTCTATTTTAGGTTACTTAGGAGGATTTGATGGTAACTTTTTGTGGAACAGAATTGGAGCAGGTAAAAAAAAAAAAAAAAAGCTTTGATTTTGCTTCTTAATGTGTGCATAATAGGAAGGGGAAATAATGGTTTTCATAGGAATTAACAATTGCCCTTTATTCATCTGAGTTCAGGGTATGTATTATTTTCATACAGGTGAAAAACTTGATAAGTCTGATAAAAGTTTAGTGTTTTTTTTTTTACTGTAATTATTTCATTCCTAGTTTTTGGTACATGTATCCTGTGGCATAATTTTGTAGGCTGACTGCCACAATAGTTTTGGAACTAGATGGGGTACATATAAATGAACATTAACTTCAGAATCTTTAGTCTGCATTCTGTGCTTAGTGAGAACTGCTTCCTAGACTGCATAAAGCTCATTTCAGAGCAATTGGGCCTATTGGTGATATCTGTATACCTAGCTACTTGGGAGGCTGAGGCAGGAGGATTGATTGAGGACAAGAAGCCAAGGCCAGCTTGGGTAACATAGCAAAACCCTGTCTCTAAACAACAAAACAAAAATTCAAAGCTAGTTTCAAAGTCTTTACCCATAGTCTGCACACTCAGATGTTAATGTCATCCCCATTTTATGAACTTACATCTTAGAATCTGACCTGCAGTAGGTGCAGATGGCATGCCCACGGTTCTCAGCTCCTCTCTGTTGTTCCCTTTCCAGAATACACCAGCAATGTGCCTGTGTGGTCCTTGCGCCTGCTGCCGGCACTTGCTGGGGCACTCTCCATCCCCATGGCCTACCAGATAGTAACTGAGCTCCACTTTTCTCACTCTGCTGCCATGGGAGCTGCCCTGTTGATGCTTATGGGTAAGCCCTGGGCCCTGCCTGCTTCTGGTGCCACGAAGGGAAGAACCAAGTGCTGGCTATGCTGACGTTTCAGCAGGCGGTGAGGGGAGCTCAGGTGCTTCCTGGCATCCCACACTAAGAAGCACATCCAGCTCATGAGTTTTGATTCTAACACCCGACCCCAGGCTGTCCCTTGGCTGTGGGAGTGCTGGACTGTGTGATCAACCCTTGTCAGTAGTGGAGGTGTGGCTGTATGAAGAGAGGCCTGCCAGACACTGCTCCAAGGCACCTGTGTCTTCACCTGGTTGTTACTGATAATCCTCCTCTACCCCCTCCCAGGCTTTGGCCAGTTAAGATGGACTCATGAGCTAGTTTATCCTCTTTCAGCTTTGTTTATGAACAGATGGAATTAAATCAGCTAGACTGGTTTAGTTAGAAAAGTTAGACTAAGAATTAAAGAGATACCAGTGTGGGTGATGACTCTCTCTGAGGTCCTGTGCCTATATAATGTTTTTATGTTCACAGCGGCTCTGCAAAGCTGGTATTCTGCAAATAAGAAAAAGGCTCAGAGAAGTTAAGTGACTTGTCTACTCACAAGGTGTCGGTAGATGTGATTCAGACTCTTATTCTTACCTGCCTCCGTGGCTCTGGGGCATGTCCTCTGCTAGCCACCCCACTTCTAAACTTTCCACCTTCAGATTTTGTGGCACTGTGGCAGGTTGTCTTTGTGTTAGTGAAGTACAGCCAGCATCTGTATCTTAGTGTTCTGCATCTGCAGACTCAACCAACTACGGATCAGAAATTAATAAAAAAATTACACCTGTACCAAACATGTGTATTTATTTTTTCTAAACAAGACAGTAGAATGACTATTTACATATTATTTACATTGTGTCAGGTGTCTTAAGTGATCTACAGATGATTTCCAGGGAGGATGTGTAGGTGTATGCAAGTACTGTGCCTTTCTTGTAAGGGACATGAGCATCTGTACCCAAGGATTCCTTGGGGGCCGTCCTGGAGCCAGTTCCCCTGGGGGCAGAGTGCGTCCTCTGTCTCCAGTGTGAATGTGCTTGTCTCAGCATTTGCACGGGCCACCTTAATACTCACATAATTTCCTGTCTATAACAGAGAACGCCCTGATCACTCAGTCCAGGCTTATGCTTTTGGAGTCGTTGTTAATATTTTTTAATTTATTGGCTGTGTTATCCTACCTGAAGTTCTTCAACTCCCAAAAACACAGGTATGGAAAGTGGGGCTGTTTTTCCTAATTTATCAGAAAAAAGATTCTAGATGTTCTTTAAGACCTTTTATTTTGAATACTTTTCAATCATCTAATATTTTGGGGGGTTGGCCATTGGCACATGACTTCATAAATATATCCTCATTTTTCTTTAACTTGCTGGAAAATTTTCCTTGGGAAAAAAAAAAAGCATTCTGTTGGGACTATAACTCTGGGAGATTGTGTGTGATAGAACCAGCCAACCCAGATTCTTCTCAGAGAAGTGTGTGCCTTCTCTGGCCTCTGTTCTGTAGTGGGTGACCTGTCCCTGTCCTTCTGTTTCTTTATCAGCCCTTTCTCTCTGCAATGGTGGTTCTGGCTGGTGCTAACCGGGGTCGCTTGTGCCTGCGCCGTTGGGTGAGTGAGCGCCCCCTGCCTTGGGCAGGGCTCTCCCCTCCTGTGTGGCCACGTCCCATCGTGGCCTTATTCAGTTCTGTCTTTGCAGCATCAAATACATGGGTGTTTTCACCTACTTGCTTGTGCTTGGTGTCGCTGCCGTCCATGCCTGGCACCTGATTGGAGACCAGACCTTGTCAAATGTAAGTACTGACGTCAGTGCAGCATTAGGCCGGCCTGTGGGAATGACAGGTCCCAGGGAGTGTTGGGTGCAAAGACCTCAGTGCTCAAAGCTTCATGTGCAGACAAGCCAGGCAGCCTGGCCTTTTAGCTGTGAGGGCACCTGTGTGGGGGAGGGCGAGTTTCTCCTGCTGACTTTTTCTAAGCCTAGCATCTGGACGTGGACATATCTTGCCGTGGAGTAGGAACTGACTTTTTCTTGCATCTTCTGGCAGGTCTGTGTGTTTTTTCATTTGCTTGCCAGAGTGGTGGCCTTATTGGGCATCCCAGTCATCCTGTACTTACTCTTCTTCTATGTCCACTTGATGCTGGTCTACCGCTCTGGGCCCCATGACCAGATCATGTCTAGTGCCTTCCAAGCCAGCTTGGAGGTAAGGGGGATGTATTAACATTGTCAAGTGAGCATGATAGGAATTCAGTCAAGAATGTATCAGCCACATCAGTAAAGGAATCCTGAATACAGTAATGCTATGGAATAAATGAAGAGGCTGACTCCCTTTAATTCTCTGAATGACTCTGGGCATTTTGAAATGCCTTACAGAATAGACTCGAGTCTGGCGTTCATTTATATTAACTGCAAATACAGTATAAATTGAGCGTCCCTACCCCAAAAATCTTGAAATCCAAAATGCTCCAAAATCCCTAACTTTCCAAGTGCCAGCGTGAATGCTTAACAATTTCAGATTTTGGAACATTTCTGATTTCAGATTAGGGATGATCACCTGTTAAGGTCTGTTCAGATATTCCAAAATGCAAAAAAATCCAAAATCTGAAACACTGTTGTTCCAAGCATTTTGCCTAAGAGATGCTCAGCCTGTAGGACGGACCAAGTGACATGGGTAGGAGTCAGTCTCTGAGCCCATTGGGCTGTCTCTTCGCCCCACTCTGAGTTTTCTCATCTCTCTCTCTCTGGGTGCTACTGAGGAATGAAGGCAGGACCTCGGGCTGCTGGGCAAGTGCTGTAACCCTGAGCCCCACTGCAGCCCAAGACGTCCCATAAGCTATGTCTCATAGGAATTTTATGGGAACTAAATGCGGGTACAAGCGGAAAACTTAGCCGAGTGCCTGATCCAGGGGCAGCACTCTCTCCAGGAGCTCTAATTGTAATTCTTAGTGAATAGCACACAACTGCACGTGTTAATTATAACCAACTAGATAACAGCAGTTCCCACTACCCCCGCCAGGGAGGCTGGTTTAGGATCTCGCTCCCATACTCACCTTCCTCCATTTCCATTTGTCTAGGGAGGGCTGGCCCGCATTACCCAAGGCCAGCCACTGGAGGTGGCCTTCGGTTCCCAGGTCACTCTGAGGAGCGTCTTTGGCAAACCCCTGCCCTGCTGGCTCCACTCTCACCAGAGCACCTACCCCATGATGTAAGGAAAGTGAAGATCATGGACTGTTCTGTCTTCTCACAGTTCTGCCGACGTGGGCAGCTCTCACTCTCCGAGAGCAGAGGCGCTGTGCTCTGGAGCCACCCACGAGTGCTGTGGCATATGTGAAAGCCTAGAGCTGGGGGCATGGTACAGCACACTGGCTCCTCGTGTGTCCTCCAAGGATCTGTCTGATACTAGTGCTGCTCTCTCCGAATCCTCAGTCTCATTTTCCCCCACACCTCACTAGGTGGTATTTGCTGAAGTCTGTTTCCCTCTGTGGAACCTATGGGAGAACAGCCATGAGTCCTTGGCTGACCACTCTGTTGACTTTCTCACGCAGATATGAGAATGGCCGGGGCAGCTCCCACCAGCAGCAGGTGACCTGTTACCCCTTCAAGGATGTCAACAACTGGTGGATCGTGAAGGATCCTAGGAGGTGAGTACAGGCCCAGCACTCCACAGCAGAACTTAGCAGGCCTGGCTGGACCAGGTCCTTGGGCTCTAACTGGGTCCCCCCACCCAGCACCCTTCATTGAGCCTGGGAGGCTGGAATGCCCATGCAGGACCTCCCCTTAGGAGTGTCACAGGCATGACCCAAACTCCCCTCTTCCAGTGCCCTTCACCACCACTACCACTCCTCTCAGAAAAATAGAATCTTGCTGGGCATGGCTTCACATGCTATAATCAATCTCAGGACCAGGAGGCGAGGCGGGAGGATTGTAAGCTAAAGGCAGCCTCAGCAACTTAGTGAGGCCCCAAGCCACTTAGCGAGACTCTATCTCAAAAAAAATGGCTAGAGATGTAGCTCGGTGGTTAAATGCCACTGGGTTCAATCCTCAGTGCCAAAAAAAAAAGAAAGATGAAAGCAGCATCACCTTCCTCAGGCCTCTGCTCACTCCCCATGCCTAGGCTCTGGCCTCTGCCTGCAAATTAGATCTCAAACCTTCCAGGTCCCATTTCCACCACCTGCCTGTCTCCACTGCCTGCCCTGTCCGCTGGTGGCCAGTGATTCCTATTCCTATGTACCCCAGTGTTTCAGTCAGCTTTCTCCCTGCTGTGACTAAAAGACCAACCACAATAATCACAGAGGAGGAAAAGTTTATTTAGGAGCTCATTGTGTTCATAGATAGCAGGCTCCATTCCTTGGGACTCGAGGTGAGGCAGGACATTATGGTGGGAGAGAGTGTGGCAGAGGGAAGCAGCTCACATGATGATCAAGGAGCAGAGAGAGACTCCACTTGCCAGATTCAAATATATACCCGGCATCATGCCCCCAGTGCCCACCCCCTCCAGCCACAGCCCACCTGCTTTCAGTCACCACTCAGTTAATCCTATCAGATGATTATTTCACTGATTGGGTAAAGGCTCTCATAACCCAGTGTGAGGGAACACCTCACATCCAACCATAACACCCGCTCCAGCATCAGCTGCCATGGAGGGGTCCTCATTACCAGGTACTCTTCTGCTCAAAACCCCCCTGAGCTTCTGACACCCCTAGAATTCATCCCCTGCATGAGGTGCTCCTGCCCCAGCCTCCGGTCTCCAGCCTTGCCTGCATGCTCAGCTCTCAGGCACCTCTGTGTCCAGAGCAGGGCACAGAGGTGGCTGAGAGCCCACCTGGCTGGACCTTCTTATTAGGAATGTGAAAGCCAGGTCCTTGGGAGGCTTCCTGGTCACCCTGTACAGCCTCCGCACCCCCCTGCTATCACCATCACCCCTGCCTCCTGGTCCACTGCATGCAGCTGCTGATGTGATCTGCATGTTCATTTGCTCCTTATCAGTTTTGCTCACTGCAGTGATGTGAGGGCAGCTGGCCACCACCTGGCTTGTCCAGCCACTTGTCAGCATGTGGCCCAGTGTCTGGCATTTAACCGGTTCTTACTTTGGTGGTTATGAACAGAAGATCCTCGCTATTAGAAGGGAGTGTTGGCAGACGTAGTCACTGTTCAGCATTTGTCACTGTAGCATTTGCAGACGAGCATGACAGTGGCAGACAATCCCACATGGCCATTTGGAAAGTGACCTTAAGCTTTAGAAAGAGGTTAAGTGAAACCATGCCTTGGTTCCACACAGCATTGCCTCTGAGGTGCGGGTGGGTGGGCAGCTGCGGGTCCCACGGTCTCTGCTGGCAGTCTAGAGCCCTGGCACCTCCTGGAGAGCTGTCGGTTTCAGGGTACCAAACCCAACAGCGCCACATCTTCCCCAGGCATCAGCTGGTGGTGAACAGCCCTCTGCGGCCTGTGCGGCACGGGGACGTGGTGCAGCTGGTGCACGGCATGACCACCCGCCTCCTCAACACGTGAGTACCTGCCCCCTCACCCTGGCGCACTTGTTGCTTTTGGATGTCCTCTGCTGCCACTGTCCAGCAGGACACAACTGCTGCCCAGCACTTGTATGTGCCTTAGGGGTCAGCAGGGGACCCAGGGACACAGCTGACGAAAGGGCTTTAAAGGAAACATCTGGTGCAGGTAAGGTGGCGGCCCGGTGCGTACCAAAGTGTGAGGCGCAGTCAGAGCCATACCACAGAGGGTGCTCGGGTGCTTTCCACATAGATGGAGTTGGGGTGCTCCTCTGTAAAGCAGCACACGTTTAAAATGAGTTCCAGACAGACCTCCCCATGTCGCCAACCCAGCCAGGACCGAGTCCTCTTGCTGACCTGCCTTCTTTACAGTGGCCACTGCTCCTCCTGCTTGGGAGCCACTCTCCAGCTTCTCCCTCCCACCTCCTCTGGGTCATACTGCCAGCCGGCTGGTCCTCACCCTCGTGCCCTGTGCACCTTCATGTGCCAGGACCCCACTTCTTAGGTTGTCTCACCTTGTCCGGCGTAACTGACCCGGGTCCATGCCCTACCTCCAGCCTCCCCAGGAACGCCCACATCCCGCTTGGCTGCACAGGGGCCTCATGGTACCCGGCTCTGGCTTGGCTGCTCCTACAGAGCCCGGATCCTGTCAGGCGTCACCTTGACTCTTCTCTGTCCACTCCTCCTCACCCTACAGAGGGTTGTTTGCTTCTCCCCTGAACCCCACATCCAAGTCCAGACCTCCTGACCTCCTGCCTCCCCTGGCCCCCGCCATGCTCAGGCCCAGGCCACCCCTTGAGAAGGTGTAGTGCACTGGCATCGCTCCTCTGCCCACAGCCCTCTGGCGACTTCCCATCACCCTCATTCTGTCCCGGTTGAGGCCCTTCGTGTCCTAACATACATCACCCCATCGCCTGACCTCCCTCCGAGCATCGCACTTGGGGCTTTTGCCGCACCCCCTCTCTGCAGTGTGCTTGGACTCAGTCCCCAGGTCCCACCCAGGGCTTATTCCAGGCTGTTCACCACCAGGTCGCCTCATGGGAAGGCATCTCCGGGAGCCACCCCGTCTGGTTCCCTCTTGGTGCTCACCTGCACTCCCTGTCCACAGTGTGGGGAGCTGTCTTCTAGAGGCCACAAGAGGTCTCCTGTTACCCCTGTGTCTACAGCACCTAGCGGGGCTGGCGCAGGGGTGACGGGTCACAGGCGAGTCAGGAGGACCTGGTGCTCCTGGCCAGTGCGGCTGGTCTCACGGCAGGCTGCCCCCCACCACTGCCCTACTTGGCCCTGGTCAGCTGGGGGCTGGCCAGCAGCTCTGCTGCCAAGCTCTGCATGGCAGTGCCGGGGGCTCTGGCTCTCAGACACGGAACCCCCAGGCCCGTGATGGCCTTGCCTTCCTCTGAGTCACGGTTCCCTGGTCCAAAAAGCGGGGTGGAGACACCACCCAGTTATATGTCACAGCTACCCTGGGAAGACCATCTGTGTGCTCCCTGAGAAGGGGCAGCCGTGGGGGTCCTATTCAGCATCTCACTGCCAGCTCCAGGGGCATGTCCTCAGGCAGTAACCACTAGCAGGGACCCAGGTTGTCCTTTAAGCCAGCTGCCTCTTTCCCTTAAAGAAAAGTAGCTTGTAGGCAGTTTCTGCAGCTGCTCCATCTGCTTGGCTTCCAGGCATGATGTCGCGGCCCCACTGAGCCCCCATGCCCAGGAGGTCTCCTGCTACATTGACTACAACATCTCTATGCCTGCCCAGAACCTCTGGAGGCTGGTGAGTCCAGCGGAGTGCCGTGTTGGGCACTAGACTGTCAGGAGCCAGGGTGAATGGGGCGCACTTTCCAGTTCAGAATGCCCCGCTGTGATTTCAGGACATTCTGTTGCAACTGCAAAGTGGGGTCTTTGGTTTTATTCACAAAGAAGGTCATGAAGTTTTCGCTGGGAGTAGACACCTGCTCCCCTGTGGAGAGCCTCGAGCTCCTGGACCTGGCTGGATGCTTTGGGTCTGCCCCAGGCAGGGCTGCCTGCTCGTACGTCTCCCTGACCTGTCACTGTTCACCCGCACAACCTGGTCCTCACTTGGGACCTGAGCTCCGGCCACCCTGTGACCCAGGGGAAGTGCCTCTCAGCCTGACAGGTCCTGCTTCTCATGCTCCCATAGAGCAGCAGCCTGCAGCTGTCTCCCCCCCCAGCCACCACGCGGCTCCCCCAGGAAAGGCAGAGTGCAGGAGGAGTGCAGTTGCTGGGCCTCTTGCCCCTGAGTGCAGGGACCCGGATGCTCAGCACAGCGAAGTCCGGTCATCCACCATGAGAGTCAAGCTTGCTCTCCAGCTACCACTGGTGCCCACGGCCTCCTTTGGATCTCAATAGGGTGACCACACACCAGCCTTGGTGCCGCCCCTGGTGGCTCCCTCCACAACACCAGCGGTCTGCGGAGGCTGGCTGTGTACTTAGCCTGCTTCTTCCCTTCTGCCTTCTCTACTGCGCACACTTGTACCCTGCTCCCCCACCTCCTCTGAGTGGGCCTTTGTGATGGGAGCTCTCCCAGCGGAAGTCCCACTCAGGGTTACCTGTTCCTGAGCACTGTACCTCCCTCTCAGCCATCTTTTTGCCAGAGGTTCCATTGCTGGTCCTGCTCCTCCACCTACCTCCCTTCTGGTGGCACCTTCAGCACCACATGCCCACATGTCAGCTGGAGTTGACAGGATGAGGAAGGAGGGTGTGCCCCAGGAGCAGCTGCCTGGCCCCAGAGTGACCAGCTGGATGTCTGGGCATTTGCTCCTGTTCAGCCTCGTGGGTTCCCTGGTTCTTGTCAATAAAATGGGGTTCTTATGAGGCCCCACTGCGTCAGGCTGTGACAGGACAAAGTACTCTTCATGTCCCAGAATGAGGAATCCCTCCCTGGGGACCATCTAAGCTTCATGTGAACCAACTTCATAGTCACCAGACAGGGACTAAGGATTGCCTGCCTCTGGCCACCATGCTCTACCCCCAGGTGACCATGCAGGGTGGAGAGGACAGAAACTCTTCAGTCTTTTCAGTCTCTGGGGGATCCTGTCTTGTGTGGCCTTTGGCAGGGACGGTGTGCCTTCCCATGGGCTGGACCAGAGTTGTGTCCGGGGCACTATCCGGGATAAGCCCCTCGCAGCCCCCTTGCTTGTGAGCTTTCCCCTTTGTTCAGAGCCATGTTAATGTCATTGCTTGGTGACTGGTCTTCATTTTTGCATTTAAGGAAATTTGAAAAAGAATGGAACAATTATCAAGATCCATTTTTGGTGCTGGGTTTGCTTTTTTAAAAAAAAAAAAAATTTCTTTTTGGTTGTAGATGGACATAATACCTTTATTTTCTCTATTTTTATGTGGTGCTGAGGATCGAACCCCGTGCTTCACATGTGCTAGGCAAGCACTGTACCACTGAGCCATAACCCCAATCCTGGTGTTGGGTTTTTTGCAGTGCTGGGGATCAAACCCAGACCCTTGTGCACACGCAACAGTACTCTACCTCTGAGCCATGCACCCAGCCTGACGGAGTCTGCTTTTGCAGGACATTGTGAACAGAAAGTCAGATAGAGACGTCTGGAAGACCATCTTGTCGGAGGTGCGCTTTGTGCACGTGAACACGTCTGCCATATTGAAGGTAGGAAGTGCCACTGGCTGGCTTGGCTATGGAAGCCTTGACTCTCATAGTCTGTTCCCTGAACTCCAGGCCAGAGCCTTCTACAGGAGGAGTACTAAAGTCACTGCCCTGTGTATTTATTGTACATCGAGGAAGGGAGGTTTTATAACTGCTCAGGGTAGAACCCTAGGGGGACGTCCGCGGTGGAGCCACCAGGTGGGCCGCCCGGACTGCCTTCAGGTGCGCCCTTTATCTTATTTGGTTTTGCCAGCTGAGCGGGGCACACCTCCCCGACTGGGGGTTCCGGCAGCTGGAGGTCGTAGGGGAGAAACTGTCGCGGGGTCACCATGGGAGCATGATGTGGAACGTGGAGGAGCACCGGTATGGCAAAAGTGAGTCCTCCTGCTGTCCCCTACAACTCCCACCATCTCTAACACTCAGCACCTGAGAAGACACTGACAGATGTGGGTTTGGCAGGAGCTGAGCCATCCCAGCCCTTTGTCCTGCCATGAGGACAACATAGGGCTTTTCCCAAGGGCCACAGGGAGAAGCTAGCGCACCCCCTGCAGGCAGAGAATTCTGAGTGGAGAAAGGCCCTTGTGAATGGGGGTGTGGGGGGTGGGCAAACTCGGGATGGTGCAGCGCAGTGAGGCGTCAGGTGGGCTGTTGGCAATGCAGGGAGGTGAGTTTTTTGCCAAGCTGGTGGCTTCCGTGTCAGCTCCCTGGCTTTACTCTGCTCCTATCTTTGGTGTCCTATTGTGTTCTGTCAGGCCAGGAGCAAAGGGAGAGGGAGCTGGAACTGCACTCCCCTACTGAGGTCGACATCAGCAGGAACCTCAGCTTTATGGCCAAATTCTCGGAACTGCAGGTGACAGGAACTGCAGGTGACAGGTGGCGGGAGGGAGCTGGCTTCTGCTGTGTGCGCTGAGCTCTGCAGTTCCCAGCGTTCATCTTGGACCTGGGACCTCAGACTCAGAAGGCGTGTCTCCCCTCTCTCCAGTCTGAGTGATGTGTGGAACGCTGGGGCCCTGGGCCCTTGCAGTCAGGAACAAGGAGGTCCAGACCAAGTGTGAAATTACAGCCTTGCTACAGCATCCTAAGGTCACCCATCAAGTCCAAAGGGGCCACTGTCAACTAGCAGAGGCCTAGAGGAGTAAGTCAGGAACTCAGAAGGCCTGGACCTGAACATGAGCCCAAGTGGGCACTGAGTCCAGGCCCCCAGTCACAGAGGATGTGCTGGGTTAGAGTTCAAGGCCCCTGACCAGGAGCACACTCATTCTGCCTGCCCTGCTGCTTCTGTTGCACAATCCAAATGAACTTAAGGTTGGATAGTTCACAGGCAAGGGGCACAGTTGACAAACACCTTTGACAAAACCTGTGTGACCTGGAGCACCTGTCATCCTAACAGCTGAGGCCCATGCTTTGTTGCAGTGGAGGATGCTGACGCTGCGCAGTGAGGACTCTGAGCACAGGTACAGCTCCACGCCGCTGCAGTGGGTCGCCCTGGACACCAGCATCGCCTACTGGCTGCACCCCACAACCAGTGTAAGAAGCGCTTGTGACAGCTGGCGGGGGCTTTGTCCCGTCCTTGGGAATTCCCTCTGGCATTAAGAGCAGCCAGCATGTCCTGGGTTTCTGCCAAGCCTGTTCTAGCAGCAGTCCAGGACTTGGTTTTCTCGGGACGCTGGGCAGCGTGGGCCAATACTCTATCAGATGCTGAGAGTAAGCCTCACGCTTACCCGTCTAAGAAAGCCTCAGCTTTGTTGCTGTTGTGGGAGAGCGCTGTCACCCTTTTCTTGACGGAAGTGGTTTGTAAGATGTCGTCCGCATAGCGCCTGGTAGGCAAGCTCACCAGGGCTCTGTTTATGTGCGTCTTGTCTTCACACCGGCTGCAGTGGGTGCTCAGGGAATACTCGCTGAACAGGCAGGTGGTAAAACGCTCCCTTCTCACTCAGTTGGAGGAGAGCAGCCCTTGTGAAAAGAAAGTACCAGGAGCAAGTCCCAGGGCTTACCCAGCATATGTGCAGAAGCGGGGACTACCTACCATTCCATGAACAGCTTTCTCGTTAAAAAATGAATCTTGCTGGACACCGTGGCACACACCTGTAATCCCAGTGATTTGGGGGTCTGAGGCAACAGAGTCACTAGTTTGTGGCCAGTCTCAGCAGCTTACTGATATCCTGTCTCAAAAAGAGAAAAAAAATCTCAGGGATGAGGGTGAATCTCAGTGTCATGCTTGGTATACACAAGGCTCTGCGTTCACCCCCCAGTGTGTCCCCTGCCCAAAAAGAGAAAAAAAAAAAACTCATTTACTCCTAGTTTTCAGTTTTAGTTTACAAAATCAAGAACCCTAGCATTTTCTAGAAGGATTCTCATTGAGAACAGGTCTCTCCAGGTTAGGGTGAGACTGGAGGATACCAGAATGAACCTGTGTGGTTTTTGTTTGGCTTTTGATACTATGGGTTGAACCCAAGGCCTTGAACATGTTAGGCAAACATTCTACCACCAAGTCACATCCCGCCCTTTATTTTATTTTGAGATGGGGGGGATCTCCAGAACATGCTACACTGGCCTTGAACTTGCAACCTTCCGACTTCAGCCTCCCGATTAGCTAGGATTCCAGGTGTGTGCCCTGCACTTGGCTGCCTCTGCTTTTTCGCCCTTCACTGTAGTATAGAGTAGGCATGTGGTTTTCTTTAACACGGCAGTTTCCCTCTGCACAGAGGGCAGGTGCCTGAGAGTGACTCCCATATGCTTTCAGGCTCAGATCCACCTGCTTGGAAACATCGTGATCTGGGCCTCTGCCAACCTCGCCACAGCGGCCTACACCCTGCTCTTCTTCTGGTACCTGCTCAGACGGCGAAGGAGTGTCTGTGACCTCCCTGAGGGTTGGTGCAGCTCCCCAGCTCCTTTTTCTGCCTCTTCCTTTTCACTGTGATGAGATTTCTCTGGCTTAAGTGACAGCCCAACTGTACCGGGAACCTACGCCCTAAGGCCTCTGTTTCCTCAGATAGGGAAATACTTTATTTTTGACTCCCTAGCTGGTGGCAGTTAGGTTTCCTGGTGTTGTTTCTGGCTTCTCCAGCAGAAAGGGTCATGGCCAGTAGTGCTCTCTGGCCTTTGCTTAAGTTGGCTGCATGTACCAAAAGTGGCTGGGAAAAGAGCAGCCGACAGGCGCATCTAGGGCTGATGGTTGTCTGCAGCTAACAGAAATGCACTTGAGACCATCTTGAAACAGAGAAGCGAAAACTACCAGTGTGGGGTGGGTGTCCCCAGGGCCTGGCCCAGGTCCCAAAGACTACTGGGAGCTGCATAGCACCTTTGCCCCACTCTCTCTCTGCTCATCTTTCAGTGCCTGGCCCTCCTCTCTGTTAACTTTCCATGTAACTCTGGGCTGGTGGACAAGTGCAGCCCCACCTCCATAAATCCCAGAAGAAATGCCCAGATGAGAGCAGGTGGCCCAGCTGGACCAGATCTGCCCTGTGCGGCCAGCCCAGGCTGCAGGGGCCCAGTGATTAACACACAGCAAGACCTGGCCTCCCACGGGGCTGGGCCATCACAAGACAGTGGTGGTTAGGTCCAGGCAGGAGGCTAAAAATTCTCATGACTCTCCTGTCCACTCTTCCTCCTGAGAGTGGGAAGGTTGGGAGCGAGAGGTCAGGCACCGAGGTTGTAAGCCTGGGATTTAAGGGTGAGCCCATGGACACGACCGCTGCTCTGACATGTGCCCTCCTGCAGATGCCTGGCGGCAGTGGGCCTTAACCGGGGCCCTGTGTGTTGGCGGCTGGGCACTGAACTACCTGCCCTTCTTCCTGATGGAGAAGACACTCTTCCTCTACCACTACCTGCCTGCACTCACCTTCCAGATCCTTCTGCTCCCAGTTGTCCTGCAGCACGTCAGTGATCACCTATGCAGGTTGGCAGCAGGGCTGGGGGACATGCAGGCTGCTTTCGGTGCAACATGGGCTGGGAGAGGCACAGCCAGCCAGGTGCAGTGGCCACGTCTGTAGTCACAGCTACTGAGGAGGGGGAGGCAGGAGGATGGCAAGTCCCAGGCCCTCTCTCAAAAGTAAAATGGTTGGATGTAGCTCAGTGGTAGAGTACCAAGGACCAAGGGGGAAAAAAGTCCACAGGCCTTGGCAGGTGACCATGTGGACTATGGATTCCAAGAGAATGGCCAAGCAGGGTCACTGTGGAGCAACAATCAGGGGTCCTCACAGTGCTTTGCACTGCTGCCCACAGGTCCCAAGTGCAGAGAAGCCTCTTCAGTGCCCTGGTCATAGCCTGGTATTCCACTGCATGTCACGTGTCAAACATGCTGCGCCCACTGACCTATGGAGACAGGTCACTCTCACCCAGTGAACTCCAGGCCCTTCGCTGGAAAGATAGCTGGGACATCCTGATCCGAAAACACTAGCAGAACAAGCACAGCAAGAATCGTCTGGGCTGGGGTAGGACAGGGTTTCTTATAACCATTTTTACCTTTGACAAGCAGAGGGCTGTCAGCCTGCAGCCTGGTGGGCTCACAAGGTCGCCCTGGAACTTAATTGCGGTTCCATTCTTAAAGCAATCCTCTGAAGAGCACATTATTTGGAGAGGTTTTATTTTTCTGAATAGTGAAGAACATGCTCCCTCCACGCCCTCCCACCCATGAGGCCCCTTAAGCTCAGGCATGTGAGTTTCAGTGGCCAACACAGGAGCCACATGTGAAGGCAGGCCAGTGACCTGCGAGCCAGGACCTGCCCAAGAGGCCCTCAAGGTGTGGGCTTGGTGTTTGATTTGATGGGCTCACTCAACTGAGCAGGCTGTCCCTGTCCTCAGCAAGGCCCTGCAGGCCGCCCTGGACAGCCGTCTGGTGGTGTGGACATCTTTTTGAGGCCTACAGCAAATGCTGTTTAAAGACTGACTCCTCAGGTTGCTTTATAAAAACCCCTTCTGAGATTTTTAACAGTCGAGGTTGGGCCACCTGTACATTTCCCTGCCCTCCCTTTGCCTTCTTTTCTAATGGAAATAAAAGAGACGAACTGACATTTGTATCTGGTATTATTTATTGAGTCTCCCTCTGAAGGAACACAAGCTTAACACAAATGTTAAGACTCAACAGAAAGCCCTGGCGCTGCACGCAGCTCAGGAACGTCGTGGCTGGTAACTACGAGTTGTGCTCAACAGGAAGAAAGGGAAAGAACCTGTGCCTAGCTTGTGGCAATGGCAAAGGACACTTTTTTCCAGAAAGGGTGGTCACATGGGAGGGAAGACAAACTTGGACAACGGACAGGACCATTTGTGAGGCCCTGAGCTCTAGCCTTGCGTGAGGGAGCCACCTGAACACCTGCAGGCCAGCACATGCTGTGGCTGGAGGCTGCTGCCCTGGACACAGCTGAGCTATACCAGGGACAGCCCATCCAGACAGCCCTGGTAAGGTGGAAGCACCCGGCCCTGTGGGACTGTGTGCAGACTCTGTTCCAGCCAGAGCAGACCCAACAGCCCACTGCCTACTGCCCCAGGATTCAGGAGCCACGCAGGCACCTGGGGTCTGGACCCCCTGCCCTCTGTGATGCTGGTTAGAGAGATGGTGGCTGATGCCAAGGTTCCTGCCTCTTCTCTGTCACTGAGGCACAGGCAAGAGGAAAGGAAATGCCTCGGAGGCTCCTTAGACCAGTACTCACCACACTGGACCACAGCCCAGTGGTGGGTCAGGAAAGGTTTCTAGGGCACCACTAGCCTTGGGGTATGGAACAGAATGAGGGAGAGGAAGCAATGGGCCCTGCTGGACAGTCCACCAGGGTGAATAGCGCCTCTTAAAGCCTGTTTCAGTGATGCGCGAGTAAACCAAGCCCTACTGGGAAATTCTCACCGGTCAGACACACCAGGCCCACAGTGCCCAGGCTGCTTCCTCAGGTTTCCCAATGCACACTGGCATTCCTCCCGGGGACAAGCACACAGGCTAACCATGAGCCAGGGCACTTCAGTGACCCCTACAGAAGTTAAAACCTCCCTAAACGAGAGGAAGCCCTGTCTCTACCTACCAAAGTGAGCTGCCCCCCAAGAGCACAGGAGCCTTGGCCCTGACACCACCTTAGGACAAGCCAGGGAGAAGCACTGCTGCCTTTTAAGGGCAAGAGGTGCCCCATGCCCGTCCCGAAACTCGGGTCTGTGGGGATCCCTGCTGGCAGGCTGGGGGACAGCACGTGATGGCCCTCAGTCAGTGGGGTCTGCTGCTGGACTCCAGGTGCGACCGTCTGCCAGAGGCCAGCACCCTGGGGTGGTCTCCTGGTTCAGAGAAGGTCCTCTTGTAGCTCCGCCCGTTGGCTCCCCCTCGGTGCCGCTTACAGAGGTCGCCATTCAAGATGTCCTGGATGTGCTGCACAATCAGATTGATGGCAACTGCAGACAGACAGTGGGTGCTCAGCTGTCCTCCCTGCTGTGCCATAGGCCTGCACAGGACTGCTGCTGGTGTGGGGCCTCCCCTTCCCCAGTGGCCACACTCAGCCTGGAAGGAAGGCCACTAGCCAGGTCCTCACAAGCCACCACACATCTTAGCAGACAGAAACCGCAAGACAGGATGTGAGACAATAAAACTCAGCAGCTCAGTTTGCTGCGGTAGCCTAGGCTGCTTGGAAGCCTGGTTAAAGCCCTGCCCTGTCTGTGCTGAACCCACGCCTCAGATAGACTCTGGTGGGCCTTGTGCATTTGGGAATCCTCAACAGCAGAGGTATGAGACAGCAGTCCTGAGTGGTGGCTCTGGGAGGACCTGGCTGGCAGTTTCTTACCCATATTGTCAACCCCTCGAGGGATGATGACGTCAGCATACTTCTTTGTCTGCAAGACACAAAGGGGTTCTCATAAGATTTCTCTTCCCCAGGACTGTGTAAGAGTGGGGGACCAAGGTGGGGTGCCCCAGGATGCTGGTGTTATCAGCAGGTGGGGAACAGGGCACAGGTGTGAGAGAAACGGGTTTTCAGACAGATGAAAGGCGGTACCGGAAGGCAGAACTCCTCGAAGGCGGGCTTGACGAAGGTGGTGTACTGGGTCAGGATCTGCTCCAGGTCCCTCCCGCGGTGCACATCCCGGAGAACTGCCGTGACAGGAAGGAGGCACCACGGTCAGCCCTCCCTCAGGACTCACAGCCACCGCAGCCAGGGCACAGAATCCCCAGATGCACTACCTCTCCGAGAGAGCCTGACGTCAGAGTCCGTGTCCACGAAGAGGCGCAGGTGGAACATGTCCCGAATCTCCTGGCTATAGAACACCAAGATGCCTTCGAACAGAACCACGTCTGCAGGATAGACCACAGTGGTTTCCGGCAACCTACCAGGCACAGAGGAAGCAATGGGCCCTGCTGGATAGTCCACCATAACACCAGAGAGAATGACTCTGGGGAGAGGATAGATGTAGGCAGTGATTCACAGAAATGTGGCAGGTCCTGCCATGGGGCAGTCTTTGTAGGAACCCAGAGGGGACGCCCTAACCAGCTCTCTCTTTGGACCTCCTGTAAGCCACCTGCTTACCTTGAGTGGGTCACAAAATCGTAGGTTGGGACTTCGACAGTTTTGCCCTCCACGATGTTTTTCAGAGTCCTGTGCATCAAATCATTATCAAAAGCATCTGCAGAGATGAAGCAAAGGGCAAGACAACCCAGCTACCCTTGTGCCACAGACAGGAGGGCACCAGGGATACTGAGGACATTCAGACTAGAAGCTGCCCCTGCAGTTTCTATTTGTTAGTGACAGGGTCCACTGCAGTCTTACAGACCATACAGGACAAAATTGCCCAGGCTGCCTTCAGGCAGGGCACCACCCAAGCTGTCCCACCAGGAGGCTGCAGCACACTGGCCAGCAATGGAAACCAGGGAGTGAGGCCTCCCTCCTCTCTCTTGCTGGGAATAATCAGTGGGAATGCTGCTTTGCAGGCCTTCTTCCTCCATTTCGATGGGCAGACTCTGTCCCAGAGATAGCAAGCACCTTCCAGATCCGGGAAGGGCTACAGGGCCCTGGGCCCTAGATCACCCACTGCTTCCCACAGCTGGCTTCCCTGAGGACTTTGCCCCTGGGCAGGTGGGGAAGGGAAAGGCCACTCTATAGACAATGGGGTGTGAAAAGACCTTATCAGCAGCAAGCTGGAGGAGGGAAGGCAAGGGGATTTCAAATGGACTGAGCAGTGGTCCCCAAGGTCCCTCCTGCCCAGGTTTCCTGACTGGCTCCAACCAAACTCCTGCAGGGCACCCAGGCCCAGAGAGCTGGTCCAATCCTCCTGACTTGACCTGCAGGAACCCAGAGGGGAGGCCCTCTGCAGGACATGTGGGTAACTTCCCTGACCCCACTGGGGCTGCATCCCTGCACAACCCAGGCCCTGGCAGCCTGCCTGGGCAAGCTCTCTGGGTGTACCTGGGTGGTCGAAATTGTACTGTCCCTTCAAGGCCTTAGCCTTCTGCTCTGCGGTCAGGACCTTATAGAACCGGTCCTGGCTCAGGATGACCAGCTTGCGCTGCCGGTGGTCTACCTCGTTCTGTCCCAGCAGCTCCATGATCTTCTCACACACCGTGGACTGGGGACACATAAACAGCACCCCCCGCTGGCACGGCGGGCGACTCTGCCCGCAGGGGGCTTCCGCCCGCCAGCAACAGGTGGCGCGGGGTGAAGGCGGCAGGGACCTGCGGCCCGGGCGGAGGGGCGGGCCCGGGGTCGCCGCCCCCGCCCCGCCCCGGCCCGCTCGCCGGCCGCCCGCTCACCTTCCCGCTCGCCGTGCCGCCGCTCACGCCGATCAGGAAGGGCCGCGGCTGCGGGCGGTCGGCCTCGGGCGAGGCGGCCCCGCAGTCGCCACCTCCCGCCGAAGCCATGTCGGCCCCGCTGCGCCGCCGAGCCCGCCGCTTCCGGGGCCCGCGGCGCATGTGCGCAGGGGCGCGGCCGCGCTCGGGGCGGAGCCTCGGCGCGCTCTGTGGGGGCCTCGCGCCCCGCCCGCGCCGCCTGCCGCACGTGCGCGTCCGGCGCGGCCTCCGTGGCGTCACGGGCAGGTGTCCTCGAGCGCGCAGACCCGCGCTGGGCCGGCAGCGCGAAGGGCGGCGGAGGCTCGCGGGTGGGCTCCCCAGGGCCCGGCTTCTCCCTCCCGAGGGAGGCGAGGCCGCGACAGACGGGCGGACGGCCCCAGGCGCCTGGCGCACCTCGGATGCAGGGGCCGCACGGACGGGGACACCCCCGCACCTCCTGCGCCCGTGTGTGCGGTTCTGGACGGCTGTTGGGGACCCTGCCGGCACAGGCCGATTACACTGACCGCATTTTATGTATTTTATTTCCTGTGGGTTTTTTTCTTAGTATTTTTATTGCAACATCATGTGACTTAGAGGACTGTTTACAAATGCAGTGCTCGGCCTTTGAGACAATTAAAAAAACTTTTAAGAACTAGAATTTTAGGGCTGGGCTGGGGCTCAGCGGTGGAAGGCTCGCCTAGCATGTGGGAGGCTCCGGGTTGATCCTCAGCACCACCTAAACATAAATAAATAAAATAAAGGTATTATGTTCAACTCGGCTAAAAAATATTTTAAAAAAAGAACTAGAATTTACATAGTGGTTTGTTTGACTTGTTACTATAGTGAAAACTAAGGGAAGAAATTTTGAAGCAGAAATATAATGATTTTCACACAAAGAGAGACTCATATTCCTCCCTTACATCATAAAAAGGGAGGTAAAGGGGCTGGGGTTGTGGCTCAGTGGTAGAGTGCTTACCTAGCACATGTGAAGCACTGGGTTTGATCCTCTGCTCCACATAAAAATAAATATAATAAAGCTATTGTATCCATCTACACTAAAAATATTTTTAAATAAAAGGGAAGAAGAAAGAAAAGGAAAAAGAGGAAAAAACGACAGAGGATAAAAAAATGTGGCATATGCACAATGGAATATTACTCAGCAATAAAAGAATAAAATCATGGCATTTGCAGGTAAATGGATGGAGTTAGAGAAGATAATGCTGAGTGAAGTTAGCCAGTCCCCAAAACCCAAATGGCGAATGTTTTCTTTGATATAAGGAGGATGATTCATAGTGGGATAGGGAGGGGGAGCATGGGAGGAATAGATGAATTCTAGATAGGGCAGAGGGGTGGGAGGGGGCAGGGGTTATTAGTGATGGTGGAATATGATGATCATTATTATCCAAAGTACATGTATGAAGGCATTAATTGGTGTGAATATACTTTGTATACAACAAATGCATTATGATTCCTTTTACACATATAGAGCACAATTTTTCATATAATGCTAAGTTAGCCAATCCCAAAAAACCAAATGGCGAAAATTGATATGAAAAATTGTGCTCTATATGTGTAA